TTGAACTCAGGGCCTAGGCACTGTCCCTGAGCTTCAAGGCTAGTGCTCTACTGCACTTCTGGCTTTATGTGGTATTGAGGAATCGAACCCAGGGCTTCATGCATGCTTGGCAAGCACTCTACCACTAAGGCACACACTTGGCCCCTTGTAAGAACTTTTTTTTTTTGGGTCCAGTCGGGCCTGAACTCTGGGCCTGGGCGCTGTCCCTCAGCTCTTCAGCTCAAGCCTCTTTTCTTTTTGCTTATGTGGTGCTGAGGAATCGCACCCAGGGCCTCAGGCATGCAAGGCAAGCGCTCTACCACTGAACCACCTTCCCAGCCCCTGTAAGAACTTTTTTACGAACTGAGTTATTAAAGAGTAATAAAACTGGGATCTCTGTGCAGCCACACGTGTGTGTATAAAATAGAAATCTGTCAGAACCAAATAGTTTTAGATGTAAAAGAGAAGTCGTGCAGATTCTTTAAAGCATAGTCTGTAACAACAAAAACTTTTGTAATATGAATACCATTATTTTGGACATTTTGTGTGCTGGGCTAGTGAATGTCTATGAAGATCAGATCAGATAATCAGAGTTTGGTACCTTGACATCTGCCTTCCCTTGGGGGAAAAGTCTACTTCTCAGTTTAGCACACTTTCATTCCAAGGGTGAAGAAGCACTTCACTATGCTTCCCCTGTAACAATGACAGTTGTGCTCATTAGTCATTTGCAATAGAAAACTCTTGGATTAGATTTTCTGTCACACTTTTCTGGGCAGCTAAGGGCATTAGAACAGGAACAAAGATTTCATACTCCCAAACTTCCTAACAAATTGTGGAGATGTTAAAAATAGCCTCTCTTCCATGCCACAATTCATTGTCTCTCTACATTTGAGATTGTGCCAAAACAGAACTTGGTTGAATGTTGTTAACTACCAAGGAGGATGTTTTGGGACTCAAATTAGAACTTAATTATTCTATTCAAAAAAACTAATTTTAGAATCAAGTAGATTATCTCCCATTGAAAATGGAGTGAATACTCAACTTTTAAAAACAGAATTTTAAAAGAATAGTTATCAAAACCTTTCAAACTTTATAGGTGAAAGTCCTGTAGTGAACTTTCAACATAACCTGTAAAAGTCTCCAGCCTGTGACTTTCTCCATCTTCCCCTTTCAGGCAAATAAATTCATGGCATAGTTCTCCTACTTTGTGTGGAATATTGATGGAGGATATCACCCATGTTCCTTCCACTGTTTTTATCTTTCATCACTGGATATGATATACAAGTTTTTTTTTTTTTTTTTTAGCACTTTGAGCCACATTCCCAGCCCACTGATTATCTTTTAGGGCTAATGAAACACATGTGTTACCTACTTATGGACCAGGAGCTTGTCCCTATGTGTCAATACTACATCTAGAAGAGATAGGTAAAATTCTATTGTTGGATCGTCAATGTTTTCATTAAAAAAAATTCTTTGCTGTGGTAAAATATTCACAGTAAAAAAAGTGAGCAAAGTTAATTTTTATTAAATTCAAAGCACCAGTCCCCCAGGGGAGGGAAAAGCCCCCACACAAAACAATAAAGAAAACCAAATTTAGGCTATTGCCAAAGATATCCCTGGCAATATGCAAAACCTCCATGAAGAGGCTTTGATCTGACAAATGTTCCACTCAGGAGCACTGGTCACCTGCATGTGAATCGCACGCTCCCATCCAAGATGAAGGTACAATAAGTGTAAAGTCATCGATTTTTAATTTACACAGACCTATATAAAACAGTGGAAATATGTACATGATTATTGCAAGGAGCTTGTTAAGAAATCAGATGAATTCATGATCATGTCCATAATCATAATGACTAACCAGATCACTGGATTCCTCTTATTCATACTGAACACAGGTAAACAGAAAATGAGTACATTTTCAATTTAAACATAAAATCCTTTTGTTTCTATGCAACAACTTACTTTTGGGGATTTACATTCTTTGGGTCAGGTCTCTGCAAAAGGAGAAGTTCCTCCTTTCACTGTCTCTCCCAGAAAGTCAAAAGGAAAGATTTTACACTGTTAACACCAGAGGATTTTGAAATGCAAATTCATAAAAGGAGCAATTGGCTGTATACTCACCCAGTGACTGTGAAGCTAACCTTTGACAGCATTCATGTAAGTCGTATTACATAAGAACTTCTGTGTGGTACGTACAACAGAAAGACTATTGTTTAGTCTGGAAAGGAAAGCAAGTGTGCCATGGAAACTGCAAACCCAAAATAAAAAAACAAGCAGGACTCATTAGTCCAAAGCACAAGGATCACATTGTAGGTGGGGATACAAAGATGGATTGTACGTGTAATGTGGTATACTTAACACATTCATACTTCTGCCATCATAGACCATGACATCCTTTGGATTTCCTTCCTGTCAGAAAAAATCAGATACTTGTGACATGGGAAAGCTGTCATTGAGTTGGAACTGATCATCTTGGCTTCAGCACGCTCTGCCCACTTATAAGCTATGGTCTAAAGTAGGGTTCCATTTGGCAGTGGGGTTCTTGGCGCTAGACAGTGGGCTCTTGGTCCCCAATCTACTGGACCACATAAGTTCGAAGTGGGGTTGAGGTTGAATTTATGTGGTCACATAATCACAATAATCACATTGATCATTCTGAAGTATCTGTGATCTCAAAATGAGCATGGGGTAGTCAGGCTCAACTTCTACTTTATAGTAGAATGGAATTGAATGGATATTTAGTTGGAACACACCTGGGCCTGGGCACTTTTTAATGTCATAGGACTTCTTACAAAAGAGCTATTTGGAGAGAGAAACCCAAAACATTTGCATTGAAGATGATAATCTATACTATTTATTAGAGGAAAAATGGTTTTCACTGTCTTTCATTCGGCAAAAGACGGCAATGGTGAAATAAAAATACCAGTTTGAAAAAAATTCACTGCATATAATAGAAATTCTGGCCCAGATGTACTGTAGAGAATTATACTTCCTTAGGCTCTATTTCCCCTACTGATGATTCTAAAAATTGTGGAGGTAGGGGAGAATAAATTATCAACAGAGCAGTAGTCTAAGGTATAAATAATAGACTTATTAGCAAGAGTTCCATAGCACTGTGTTGAATGAAGATGCTGGAGGAGCAATAAGACAATTAAAAGGCGTTATGTGTGGGGGAAGGGGGGGAAGGATTGAGTGGGGGGGGAGGGGAGAGGCTGGGAGGGAGGTGAAGGATAAACAAAGGAGGAGGCTGCAATGCTTGGTAAGAAATGTATGCATTATCCTGCCCATGTAATTGTAACCCCTCTGTACAGTATGTTCTCAAATAAAATAAAATTAAAACACACACACACACACACACACACACACACACACACACACACACACACAAAAGGCGTTATGTGTCACTATAAAATTTGCTCAAATAGTCTTTGGAGAACAAATGTCAATTGTATATTCAAAATAACACAAGATACATCATGGTGTAACACACTTGGAAAAGTAATTACTAAGACTTTTAAACAATACATAGTTGGCATATTACAGACGAGTCTATATAGAAAATAAGAGCCATTGCTAATTTCTCCTTCAATCTCCAGTGATATCTGAAAATTCTATCAGTTATCCACAGAATATTTTCAAATTGTCCATTTTAAGCAATAAATGATAGCTGGTTAAGAAACAAGTTCTTTTTGTCTTAATGTGTGAGATGCTAGAATCAAAGAATTCAAGTCAGTTATATTCATTTATTCTGTCATCTTAGAGAAATTTCCTCCAGTCAAACATTAATTGTAGTGTTAATTAATAAAGGTTTACTGTGGCAAACTGAACACATTCATGTGTAAGTATTTTGTCAAATGTTGGTGTATGGGGCCTAGCAACTTTCTTCTCTCTTAATCTAGTTTGCTGTGCTGACAATTCATCTAATCCCCAGGCCCAGTGAAAAAAATAAAACACTTGGGTGTCAGCTAAGTTAGTTTGGTGGGGTCCATGAAGAACTGCCTTGTTCCAAAAACATAGATCTTTTGTATCTCTATCGGAATAAAAACGAAGTTCTTCATGAACTTAATCAGAGTTGGAATTTGAGGTCCTGATTCTTTAAAAAAAAAAATCAATTAATTAATTCACCAAACAGAAAACAGAAGTTTCAGGAAATACTTTCATCTATAATTCCCATCCCAAATTTCTTCCCAAATACAAAACATACTCTTTACTCAAAATTATAGACAGATGAAAAGGAAAACTAAACCAACACACACACACAAAATCGTATCCCTTTTTCAGGGCAACATGTATTTAGTGTTTCTCAGGGGCACATAATGAAGAAATCTTACACCAAATATGGTACACTCATACACACTACTGGATATTTTGGTTAGTTCTACTACCTGCTATAGGCTTGCTATGAAAGGACCAACCTGCACAGTTGAAAAAAAGCCAATAAACCACACACAGACACACTGCAAAAACAAACATGTGCACACTCTTACTTCGAGAAGAAGCTGAACAAAATCTACATCTAGAAATGGATGAAAAATGGCCTTGAAAACCTGCTAGACCAAACACGTCTACAGACAAGGTAAGAATAAAAGCAAAAATCAACATTTGTTTTCCTGATTTCTTTAATATAGTTGCCATATTACATGATATACTATTAGATCCTTCTGAATATCTAATCTACAACCCTTTTGGTATACCAGTTGGCATCCTGGTTGAAAGAACTTTTGTTACTGCCCAAGCCCTGGTAGTACTTTTAAGAACAGTAAACTAATTCATATGCTTGGACCATAATCAATGGGTAGTGGCATTTGTAATCTAAAAATGGATTAATGCACACAGTCAAATTATATTACACTTCAACGGAGAGGTCATACAAAGTCTATTTCCTTTCCCTAGTAGCTGTCACTCAAGAGGTGGGAAAAAGGTTTTCATTTAGTTTTCTTTCATGCTTGTTTTTTCTTGCTTGCGTGCTTCATTTTCTTCTGCATCTTTTCGTCTTCCATTTATTTGCATCCATTTTATTTGATAAGTTAAAAAATTTCATTTCAGGAAACCAAAGTCTGGTAAACAATGAAAATAGATCAGAGGTCTCACAAACTCATCTTTGCAGGAGGTTAAATTAATGGCAAGTGTTTTTTGTTTTTGAAACAATAAGACAAAAAAAATCTAAAAATAAGCATATGCCAATGGTGCTACTTATTTAAGCACCTGGCGTTCCTCGGTGCTTTTGAGGCGTTTCTTCCGGGGCTGAACAAAGTCATCGTCTGAATCATCGCTACACCTGTTATCCTCTGATTCATTCCGGAATTCGAGTTTAGGAAACCTTTTTTCTGGATAAAGGTTCTTTAGGAGTTCTTCAAAATAACTTTCAAGTTTTATACCGGCACTGGCTACTTCTGAATCAGGCTGTTGGAGAAAGATTGGAATTTAATAAATGAAAGCCCACATTTTAGACAGTTAATAAAAGTAACCACTTATACTTTTGACTCGTGAGATTATGAAAACCAAGAGACCATTTTCATTAAAAAAAAAAAAAATCTCTGCTGGTCTTAGATTAAAAAAAAAAAAGACTAGAGAAAGTCAACTAACTACAAAAAAAAAAAAGAAAGAAAAAAAGACTAGCTTGGTGCCAATGGCTTACACCTGTAATCTTAGCACTCAGAACAAGTGAGATCTGAGGACTGCAGTTTGACGCCAGTATAGGCAAGAAAGTCCATGAGACTCCAACCTCTAATTAACCACCAAGAAGCCAGAAGTGGAGCTGTGGTTCAAGCAATAAAGTGCTAGCCTTGACCAAAAAAACTCAGGGACAGCACCGAGGCTCTGAGTTCAAGCCCTAGGACTGGCACATATGCACGCACAAAAAAAACTCCCCTGCATTGTTCAAAAAGGAGGTAGTAATACTATGATTGGATTACTGAAGAAAGATCAATAAAATGGCACAAAATCATGAAAGTGGTAGTTGTACAAAAAATTAAAAGAAATGTGGTGTTGTAGAATAACTAAAACACTGACAAGCCAACAACAAGTGTCTTCGGTCTGACAGATGAAGAGAAAATTTTAAGTGAGAACTTTTGTACATACTTATTTATACTTAATTTTATATGCTTATATACTTACTTAAAAACATCAAAAGTTTGTTTTTGTTTTGTTGGTCATGTGGCTTGAACTCAGGGTCTGGGTGCAGCACTCTGCCACTCTGAGCCACAGTGCCTCTTCTGGCTTTTGAATAGTTAATTGGAGATTAGAGTCTTATGGGGACTTTTCTGCCTGGGCTGGCTTTGAACCGCCATTCTCAGATCTCAGCCTCCTGAGTAGCTAGGATTACAGGCATGAACCACAGTGCTCTTGAAGTGCTATGTTTTAAGATATGAAGCTAGGAATGACAGTTCTTACAGTTGTCTCCAGTTAGCTTCTTTTTTTTTCTTTTTCCATCTTTTTCTTTTACCATAAAATAAATCTGGATAAACGCTTCCTAATTACCTCTTTCATACCCTGAAGACCTCAACACCCTTTCAGGTATCTATTCTATCATAAACATCTTGGTCTCTCCATTTGTTGAAAGGTGTTAGGTTTAAGATTATTTCCACACATTGGTATTGTCGCCCCCCCTCCCCTGCCACTCACCTCATTGAATTCAGCACAGTTTTGAAAAATCAATCTAAAATCAGCTACAAAATCTTCAGGCTTTGTGTACACGTAATAATCCTCTTGGAGTCTTTTCTTGATGGTTGACAAATCCATGGGATTTTTAATTATTCTGTAATAATCAGGCACCTTTCAAATAAGAGATAACACAAATAACTAAATTCTGCCTTGTCCTAAATACATTTTGTAAAGAACTGACATGAAATTGACTTCTGTTGCTTTTCTTTGTCATTGGCAAGAAAGGCAATGGCAATGTGCACCGATTTTTATTTTTTTTACAAGTACCCATTACATATTGGCAAATCCTTTACTTTTTACAGAAAACAATTATTTTTAATAAAAAAGTTTCCTCACATATTCTCTTAAATGTATTCTATATTCCCTCAGCATTAAATAAGAAATGACTGCTAAACAACAGTAAAACTTCTGGTAGAATTTGACATGTTTTTGCTGCATGAATTTATTGTTGTTATAGAAGTGATGTATAGAGAGATTACAATTACATGAGTCAGTGTCTTCTGTTCCTTCATTCTTTTTCAGTCCCTCTCTCCTGTCTTTACCCATGACATGTACAGTTCCCTTTAATCAGTGACCAGTGAGCTGCTGCACTTCTTCACCCTTTTTCCATCGAGTTCTCACTCTCCTCCCAACCCTTTTGAAGATGTACACTGGAATTTACCATACACAAGGTAAAGAACACAGAATCACACAAAAACTAAGAACTTACGTATCTTGTTTCGGTATATATATTATTTTATATACATATGAAGAGGCACTTGAGCATTGCGCCTTTCTGTTTCTCTCTTTTGGTTTTGCTGGTGAGTATCCAGAATCCTGCCGGTTACCATACTCAGTGTACTTTAGATCTAACTTTGGCATATCAGAGAGAACATGCACCATTTGTCTCTCTGACCTCACATTATCTCACTGATTTGTTCTAGTTCCATCCACTTCCCTATAAATGACATTATTTCATTCTAATAACTAAAATTCCACTATGTATAGGTACATTTTTTTGTATCCACTCATCTACTATGGTCATCTGGGCTGTTTCCTCATATCTTGGCTATTGTGAATAGTGTGGCAATGAACATGGATTGTGCAGGTGGTCTTTATCAAATCCTGGTTCATGGTATTCAGGGTAGATGCCCAGGAGTAGTATGGCTGGGTCATAGGGAGGGTCTATGTTTAGTTTTTTGAGGAACCTCCTGGCTGCTATCCAGAGTGGTTGTACTAGTTTAAATTCCTACCAATAGTACAACAGGGTCCCTTTTTCCCACATCTCCACAAACATTTGTTCTGATTTTAATTTCCTTTATGGCTAGGGATGTCAAGCATTTCCTCATGTGTTTTTTTGCCATTCTTCTTACCTCTTCTGAGAAGTCTCTCCTGAGCTCCCTTGCCCATTTAGTGATTGGTTTATAAGATTTGGGAGGGGTAGTTTCTTGAGTTCCTTGTATATATTGGTATTAGGCCTTTATCTGATGTATTCCTGGTAAAGATCTTTACTCAATCTGCTATCTTTCAGTTAACTACTATGCCTTTAGCTATGTAGAAACTTTTTCTTTTGATGTAGTCCCACTTGTCAAGTCTCTCTCCTATGCCCTACCCTGGGACTACTCCGACCTATAAGTATATCTGTAAGTTCTAATGTTTCTTCTATTCTCTCTTGTGGTAATTTCAAAGTTTTGGGTGTACTCTGAATTGATGTTAGTGCATGGTAATAGACTAGGATCCACTTTTAGTTTTCTGCATTTGGATGCCTAGTTTTTCCAACACCAACTAGGCTATTTTTTTCCCCACTGTATTGGTTTCCTGATCAAATATCAGATCATATCAGTGTCTGATTTTATTTCTGGGTCTTTTAATCTGCTCCATTGGTCTTTGGATCTATTTTTGTGACAGTACCAAGCTGTTTTTCTTATTATAGGTCTATAGCAGAGCTTCAGGTCTGGTATTGTGATACTACCCACATTACTTTTGTTGCTCCATATGAATTTTTGAATTGTTTTGCCTATCAGTAAAGAATGTGATTGGGATCTTGATGGGGACTGCATTGAATTTGTATATCAGAAAACGGCATTTTGACTATACTGATTCTACCTATCCTTAAAACATGGAAGGTCTTTCCATTTTTTTTGGTTAATAGTTTTCACTATACATCTTTTGCCTCTCTAGTTAGGTTTATTTGTAGGTATTTGATTTGTTTTGAGTCTACTGTAAATGGAGTCGTTTTCATGATTTCCTCGTCTACTTGTACATTGTTGGCATACTGAAAAGCTACTGGTTTTTGTGGGATAATATTGTTTCCCGCTCCTTTTCCAAAGTGGCTGACCAGCTTGAGCAGCTTAGGGGTCCTTTAGGTATAAACATCATGTCATCTGCAAACAGGGATAGCTTGACTTCTTTCCCTATGTGCATAGTTGCCTTGTTGCTCTGGCTAGGAATTCCAGAACTATATTGGAGAGGAGTGGAGAGTGGAAATCCTTGCCTTGTTCCTGATTTTAGGGGAAATGTTTTTAGTATGATGCTGGCTGTTGGTCTGTCATAGATAGCTTTAATTTATTTTAATGAGTGTTCCTTCTATTCCAAGCTTCTCCAAAGCTTTTTGTCTTTTGGTAGGTTGTGGGGTCAGAACTCTGGGCCTGGGCACTGTCCCTCAGCTCTTCAGCTCAAGACTAGAGCTCTACCTCTTGAGCCACAGCACCGCTTCTGGCTTTTTCTGCTTATGTGGTGCTGAGGAATCAAACCCAGGGCCTCATGCATGCAAGGCAAACTCTCTACTACTGAGCCACCTTCCCAGCCCTCTCCCAAGCTTTTAACATGAAAGGATGCTGTATTTTGTTGGAGGCTTTTTCTGCATCTATTGAAATGATCAAGTGGTTCTTGTCTCAGACCGTTGACGTGGTAAAATACATTTATTTGTGTATGTTAGACCAGCTTTGCATCTATGGGATGAAGCCTTCTTGGTCATAATGTATGATTTTTAAGATCTGTTTCTGGATTCTACTGGCTAGTATTTTATTGAAGAGCTTTACATCTATGTTCATCAAAGAAATTCGTTTATAGTTCTTTTTTGTTGGATCCTTACTGGTTTTGCAATGTGTGTAATATTGGCTTCATAAAAGAGTTTGGGATTGCCTCCTCTGTTTCTATTTCATGGAAAAGTTTGAAGAGTACTAATGGTTCATTTTTACTCAGCCCTGAATCCATCTGGGCTCTTCTTTGTTGAAGACTTCTGATTACTTTTTTTTTTTTTTTTTTTTTTGTGAATACTGTACAGAGGGGTTACAATTACATGGGCAAGATAATGTGTACATTTCTTATCAAGCATTGTAGCCTCCTCCTTTGTTTTCCCTCCCCACCCCCCCCCCCCCCCCCCCCCCCCGTACCAAAGTTGTAAAGTTCGTTTTCGACATAATGACTTGTACATCTCATTGTTGCAATGGGTCCCTATTTAAACGATTTGTTTTTCCCCTTCCCCTCCACAAATTATACCGACATTAAATACAGTGAAAGCAGAGGTTATACTGTGGGGGAGGGACATACAAAGCAACAAAGAAGTAATCTTATATCTTAGGGTTCATTTCCCTAATATCACCTTATCTGACCTTTTCTGCTTGACTCAGACATATACTAGATATGGCAAATAAGGGAAACCATGGGACCTATGTTTCTTTGGGCCTGGCTTACTTAATTTTTTCCAAGTCTTTCCATTTCCTAACAAATGGGGCAATGTCATTCTTTCTGATGGAGGCATAGAATTCCATTGTGTATATATACCACATTTTCTTGATCCATTCATCTACTGAGGGGCATCTGGGTTGGTTCCATATCTTAGCTATAGTAAATAGTGCTGCAATAAACATAGTCGTGCTGGTAGCTTTAGTATGGTCTTGTTTGCAAACATTTGGGTAAATGCCCAAAAGTGGGATTGCTGGGTCATAGGGGAGCTCTTTGTGGAGTCTTTTGAGGAACCTCCATACTACTTTCCAAAGTGGTTGAACAAGTTTACACTCCCACCAACAATGCAGTAAGGTTCCCTTCTGTCCACATCCCTTCCAGCATCTGTTGTTTTTAGAGTTCTTGATTTTAGCCATTCTAACTGGAGTGAGGTAGTATCTCAATGTTGTTTTGATTTGCATTTCTTTTATGGCTAGGGAGGTTGACCATCCTTCTTTCCTCTTCAGAGAAGTTTCTCTTTAAGTCTTTAGCCCACTTATTTATTGGGCAGTTGTTTCTTCGAGGATTTGTTGTTGGGGGATTTAATTTTTTGAGTTCCAAGTATATTTTAGATATGAGACCCTTGTCCGTTGTATGGCTAGTGAAGATCTTCTCCCAATCCATGGGCTTTCTATTGATCTTGCTAGCTATGTCCTTTGCCATGCAGAAGCTCTGCAACTTCATGCAATCCCATTTGTCCAATCTTTCTTTGATTTGTTGTGTTTCTGGGTCTCTATTAAGAAAATTTCGGCCTGTGCCAAGGAGACCTAGGGTTTCTCCTATTCCATCCTGTAATGTTTTCATTTGATTACTTCTTTAATCTTGTTGTGTGTTATGAGTCTGTTTAATTTATATCTTCTTGGTTCAACTTAGGCAGTTTGTATGTCTCTGGAAATCTGTTCATTTTCTATTAAGTTTTCCTTCTTTTTTTTGAGTACAGATTTTAGAAGTAGTCCATCCTTTTGGAAGTAGTTTGGATTTCTTGGATGTTTGTTTTAATGTTTCCTGTGGCATCTGTGATTTTATTGATTTGAATCTGGTCTCTTCTTAATTTTACTAGTGGTTTATCAATTTCATTGATTTTTTTTTCAAAGAACCAGTTTTTTGTTGTTTTTTTTTTTTTTGGGGGGGGGGGGGTCCGGTCGTGGGGCCTGAACTCTGGGCTTGGGCACTGTCCCTCAGCTCTTCAGCTCAAGGCTAGCACTCTACCACTTGAACCACAGTACCACTTCCAGCTTTTTTTTTTCTGCTTATGTGGTGCTGAGGAATCGAACCCAGGGCCTCAAGCATGCAAGGCAAGCGCTCTACCACTGAGCCACCTTCCCAGCCCCTAGAACCAGCTTTTTATATAGTTTTTAAGTATCTCAGTAATTTCTGCCATAATCTTTGCTCTCTTTCTCCTTTTAGAAGCTTTGGGTTTGGTTTGGTAGATTCGCTGGATGGCTTTCTGTCTGACTCTGCATTTGGCAACTTTCAGCTATGGGTAGTACAGATAGTGTGATGTGTCCTGGTCAGTTGTGAGGGTTATGCTGTGTGCAGGATGGTCTGATGTCTTGTCCTCAGTTTACACCCAATGGTGGATCCCCATTATGTGCTAGATAGAAGTTTAGTATCCTGGCCCGGATGTGTGTCTGGAGTAGGTGGATTCTGCTAGTCATAGTAGGGAGTTTGTTCTAGTCTAAGTCCTGTACTGGTGTCTGTGTCCAGAAGGGCTGGGAGCAGTGTTCCAGCACCGAGACCTTGTATGAGCCCTAGGGAGAAGGGCAGATCCCGTTATGCATTAAGAGGTGGTTGTCTTAGCACAAGTTGTGAGCTGGAGCAGGCCTGAGCCTTGGAGGGGGTGGCTCCCACAGGCCAGGGGCTGTGTTCAGGTCTCTGGGACAGGTGATAGTCTTGGGAAGGCGGGTTCCTGTGGAAGAAATCATCCCCACTCCAGTCTTGGTTCTTGTTTTCTTGGGGGTGAAGTGTACGTTAGGATCCTAAATCTCTGATCAGAGAGAGCTAGAGTGATTCCCTATTGCTTCACCACCATCTTCTTAGTTTCCTACTTCTCTGGGTTAAAATTTTAAAACACTGAGTGGTATTGCAAACCTCTTTGCTTCATTTACCTTGCTTCTTTTGGGTAAAAAAGACCCTTTTTTTCATGAAAGTATTTATTTCCATCATGGGCTGGGGATTTCGCTCAGTAGCAGATCACAAGTCTAATTTCATTACCCTCTCTCCCCTACAAAAAGGTTTTTTATTTTTATGTTTTCATTTTTGATCATCAGTTTTCAAAAGAAAGAAGCTATTTTGTAGTTTTTTGGCCATTAAGGTTGACTCTTTATTTGTTAGGGCATAGTAACTGTAGAAAATAACTTCACTGTGATATTTTCATACATGCAAAAGTTGATATACACAAAATATATTTACTGTATTGTCCCTTCTAGCATTGTATTAATTTTTTAAAATGTATGAAACTGTCAAGAACTCATTCAATTTAAAAGATATTTCAGATATTCATAGAAGGATCTATTTTTAGTAGTACATCCTTCCTATCATTTTAATATTGTACATGAAAGTCACATCAATCTTGCAGTCTGAATGTATTTGAAGCCAAGAGTTGATTCACACCTACATATCTTCCTTCAGCTTTTCTCTACTGTTAAAAGCCACTGAGTGCTTAAGTCTATACCTATAGATCATGTAAGTACAAAATGACAATAACACTTACAGTTAGCGGAACAGGGTCTTGGAAAGCCAGGCTCATTTCATGGCAGTAAAGAAACAAAAGTAGGCGTTCACACTTCTAAGCAAAAATAAATAACATCAATGAAATTACAGCTATTTTCAGTAAGAATTTTACAGATCTCAAAGTGACAGAGTAAGAATTAAAGCCAGATTAATATAGGAGAAATACTGAATCTTAGTGTTTTAGGTTCCTTCCCAGTTATGAACTAGTGTTTGATAATTTAGTGTGTATATGACATTTGGGAGTATATGACATTTGAGAGTCCTTTGGTCTTGGCAATGAATAATGCTCACTCTAGTTTGTGTGTGCTGAATAATGGTTAATACAGGAAGAATACAAGTTTTAATGAAGAGATCCAGAAATGGGACATTTTCCTTGTGGTGTCTGGTCCTAGGTCTCCACTCTGCAAGCTCCTTCCTATTCTGCTTTTGGGCTCTCTTTTCCAGTCAACACTGTGGTGCTGTATCGGCAGTGTTTGTGCCTCCTGTTGTATGACAATTCTAACACCGTGCTCTTTATAATTTAGCAGAGGGGCTGCAAAGTGTTATGTTATATATTGAGTTGTTACAGATTACCTAGCTTTGATGAATAATCTGGAATGGAATCAACAAAAGCCTATCTCATTATCAATTCTCAACAGATTCTGAGGAAGAAAAACTTATGTAAGAAATGAAACAAAATTAGCCCAAGGTAGACTAAATTTAAATACCCAGGTTCTATAAGGATACAGTCTGTCCTACTCAGGTTTAGTATTTTAAACATTTATAAAATATATATGGTACCAAGCTTTTTAAATTAAAAAACGTTTGTCTTTAATCATTTGAGATTTTTATTCTTTTATTAAAAAACTCCTAAATCAATATAAAATGAATGCATCTAAGATAAGCACTGTGTGACACGCTAGGATGAAAATGCTCTTTTGTCTTACCCTTTTGTCTATTGGTGTTAACTTCACCAGGCTTTCGGATTTTCTTTTTTCTGAGTTGTGACTAGGAGCATCACAATCATATTCAACTTCGGGTTTTGACAAGTCTCGGCAGAAAGTACAAATCCACTCTCCACTGTTGGAATAATACAACTTTGAGTTTCTTTTCTTTGCATAGGCTTGTCTTTGAACTCAAGACCCTCCTGCTTCAGATCCACAAGGGCTGTGATCAGATTATTCACCACACCTGGCTCTGCGTTTAAGTTTCTAAAGCATGTCTCTCTTTCACAGCTTCTTTCTCCACCTTCCCCAAGCCATCTCTGCTTTACAGAACATGAATTTTAATCACAAGAGTATTTATCACATACCTAGTAGATACATAGCATCTGGCTCAGAGAGGAAATAGCAGAAACTTCATGTATGTTAATAGTGATTAAGGAGGCAAAAAATGTATCTATGTGAGATATATCTATGTGGGGCATATTTTCCCCTGAAGGCTTCAAGAAAAAGACAGCTCTCAGTAATACTATCAGAACTGTAAGTTTGAAATTAATTTTAAGAATTAAATTGAAATTAAATGTAAGGAATCAGAGCCTTAAAAGAACTGGGAAATTAACCCAATAGCTCTTAATCATCATCACCACCATCACCATCATCATCATCATTAAAAAAGGCTTAAGAATGTATTGAGACATTTGTAAATGATAAAGCCCAGTGCATTCACTGGGCTGGGCATTGACTTGGCATTGATGGTGGCTTATTACTGTAATCGTAGCTACTCAGGAGGCTGAGATCTGAGGACTGTAGTTTAATGTCAACCTGGGCAGGCAAATTCAATTAACCAGCAAAAAGCCAGAATTGGAGGTGCAGCTTAAGTTTTTGCTTGAGCAGAAAAGCTGACCAAATGTTCAAGACTCCTTATGTTCAAAAGGCCAGTATCAGTACACTCACAGAAAATGTCTTTGCTAGGGTAGAAAATATGCCCAAAGCATCATTGTTCTTCATGGTAACTCCTATGTTAACATTATTTATGAATGATGAAACAGTTTCACTGTGAGTGCATGCTGGCATTAAACCTTCTTGATGGATGGATTTAACCAAAAACTGCAAGAAATAGTACAATATGAGCCACCATGCTGGGTGGGTTTTCAATTTGTTTTTTCTTCTGTCAGTAGCAGGGCCTGAACTCTGGGCTTGGGCACTGTCCCTCAGCTCTTCAGCTCAAGGCTAGAACTCTACCACTGGAACCACAGCGCCACTTCCGGCTTTTTCTGCTTATATGGTGCTGAGGAATTGAACCCAGGGCCTCATGCATGCAAGGCAAGCACTCCACCACTGAGCCATCTTCCCAGCTCTGGTTTTCAATTTTTTAAACGCCTTTAGTTCCCTAGTGCTGGGATTATAGGTGTACACAGCTATGCTCAGGGCTGATATATTTTTGTGCTACTACTGGCATTTGAACTCAGGGCCTACGTGCAATCCTTTAGCATTTTGCTCAAGACTGGTGCAAGTCTGGCATACCTAGCTTTTTACTTTTTTTAAACTGTCATAGCTGATTAGTTTTTTTTTTTCCTTTGTGAAGAACAAGGAGGTAGGGGATAGAAAATTATATTATTGTTAGAAACTTTATATGTATTTGTGCCAAGTCAAAATTAAATCTCTACAAAGATTTTATGTAATGTTGATCATCACATTATGTAAAAATGATCATCACATGTATTGCTGTTACTTAAGACTATTTTCGGCAGCATTGAGGATGGAATGCCAGCCCATGTATTCTAGCCAGGCACTCTACAACAGAGCCACACCCCAGCTATTAGTATTTAGTGAAAGAGTGCGGGAAGGGAAGCACTGTCTTACCTTGGAAAATTTGCCAAGGTGGGCACATGGCAGGAGAGATGGAAGACTTTGGGACACTTCTCGCAGCACAGGAGTTCTCCTCCATTTTGACAAACTGCACACCAGTCCTCATTGGGGTCGTCCTCCTTCCTCGTCTCAGCAATATGAAGGGGTGACTTCTGGGAGGTGTTCAGCCACTCGGCCTTTCCATTGGAGGAATTTTCCTGGAGCCCAGGTTGATCACCTGTGCTATCAGGGGCATCAGATCTTAGCACAGTTTCCTCAGAAGCAGAACCTTGACTACTATTTAGAAGCAGGGAAGTGAGTATGCTTCTGGGATAGTTGGTCTGCAATGAGAGAGAAGAATGTGTATGTTCAGGAAGGGTCCTTTTGTTCACAGCTGGACTCTGACCACAATCCTCCTATCTACAGCTTCCCACATAGATTGGATCACAAGTATTTATTAGCAGCATACCTGGCTTTAGGAGTGAGATGAAGGAGGTTATCACTAACATTTTGCCTTGAACTCTGATCTTCCCATCCGATGTCTACCTCCTGAGTAGCTGGGATTAAGAGGTATGAGCCACCATGCTGGGTGGACTTTCAATCTTAAATGTCTATATGTGTAATTTTCTTACTATGGGAGACTGTGGAATTAGGATTTGACCTTCTGACTCTCCAAACCATCTTTCCTTACACCACCTTTTAATGAAGGTTTTATTAAGGATTTTATTTTTTAGTTTGTAGGAACCATTGTTACTGTTTATGGTTAGCATCTGATCCAAATGACTAGTATCTGTCTGTACTGTACTGATTATTCTCTTGTGTGTATGCTTTTTTTTTTTTTTGCTGGTCATGGGGCCTGAACTCTGGGCCTGGGCGCTGTCCTTCAGCTCTTCAGCTCAAGGTTAGCACTCTACCACTTGAGCCACAGCCCACTTCTGGTTTTTTCTGCTTATGTGGTGCTGAGGAATGGAACCCAGGGCCTTATGCACGCAAGGCAAGCGCTCTACCACTGAGCCACCTCCCCAGCTCTTGTGTTCGTTTTTAAATCTTTGGTTTATAGGGAATTCGTTCTAGTTTACTTCCTACGATAGTTTTTTTTTTTTTGAAAACTATGTAAATAGACTATGTAAATAGTTTACTACAGAATTATAAAATACATTGTGACTACACTTCCTTTGTAGAATAACTGAGTCAGTTACCACTTAGGTACTTAACTCAATGACACTCTCCACATGATAATGTGATGCTTTTTTTGTGTGTGCTGTATATGTAATGGGCCTTAATCTCAGGGTCTAGTGCTCTCACTTTGTGTTTTTACTAAAGGCTGGCCCTCTAGCACTTAAGACACCCTCCACTTCCAGTTTTTTGCTCGTTAATTGGTGACAAGAGTCTCTCTGATTCGTCTGCCTGGGCCGATTTTGAATCTTGATCCTTAAATCTTAGCCTTCTGAGTATCTAACATTACAGATGTGAGCCACTTATGTGTGGTTATATGATAGTTTTAAATATTGTACAAACACTGATCTCCCTTGTGGAATTTTCTGTCCTCCTGTTCTTGTACTAGGAGCTGTTACAACAGGGAATACTCTTGTTTTTCCACCTTAGAAAAGTATTACAAACCACAATGTAATTACATTTTGAGGCCTAGATTCTTCATCTGATTCTTGTTTCACTATAACAACAGGGAAATCATAATTTTCAGGTGGTCCACTGTTTTCTTGTTTGATTCGGATTGGCTCCAACATGACCACGGGGACTTTGTGAGTAGAATCTGCTCCTGCTGGTTTGCTGGAAGAGCCAGAGCTATAAGCATAAAAGAGAGAGAGAGAGAGATTGAGCAGGACACCATGAAAAATCCAAAAATGTTACATTATGAACCTCACATGAAGCACAATAACAGCACTCTGGAATAATGTTTTATCTTCATAACAATAACTGTTACATTTGCAAGAAATGTTGCACAAATGAAATGGCCAACTATTCAATTGCTATATGTACACATTTCCTTTATGAGTAAAAAATGCTTTACAAACTAACTTGTCTAAACAGTTACATTATATACCTGTAAAGATAAAATCTGAATTAAAATAATTCAGAGGCTGTATAAATAGCTAACTAGACTTATCTTAAAAAGGATTTTTTAAGGTCTCTAATAGTTCCCTCTATAGTAAGTAACAAAGAGAACTTTAGGTTTTCATTAATAGCTTGGTAATGCATGGAAACAACTAGCAAATCACTTAGTGGTGTTAAAGACTATAGTGGGAGAAAATATTACAGACAGTTACTATGTTTTAGGAGACTACAGAAAACTTTTCTTCTCAGAAAATGTTGCTTTCTTTGAGTAAGGAAGTAAAAAGCAGGAGTAAGTTAAACATTTCAAAGGGAAGCACAGAGCAGTAACTTTAAACTATTGTTTTTCCCGTTTGTTTCCTTAATAATGCTGTGCCTTTAATTTTTCCTTAGTTGTTCCTTTCCAAGTCAAATATTAGTATTTTCTTATTTTCAATCTATAGGGAAGTATTTTTTAATCCTTCTCTTCACTAATTTAGTAAATACATAGCAAGCAAAGGCCAGAGAAATCTAATTAGAGATTTTATGCACAGCTGGCCCTTGGGATCCTGGGTTTCCCATCTGCGGGTTAAACCAACAGTAGAAGGAAACTATTCAGGAGAAAAATTTATCTGTACTAAATGCAGACTTATAAGGGGTCATTGGTTATTCCCTAACCAATACGGTATAACAAATATTTACATAGCATTTATTAGCTAACATCTACATGATTCAAAGAACATATAAAAAATATATAGGACAAGATGTGGTTATATGCAAATATTACACCATTTTATATAAGAATATTAGTATCCTTAAGAGAGTCATGGTACTTAAATCCTCGTGGGCACTAAGGGACAGTTGTACTAGAATATTCTTTTTTTAATTTTAATTTTAATTTTTTGTGAACATACTGTACAGAGGGGTTACAATTACATGGGCAAGATAATGAGTACATTTCTTATCAAGCATTGCAGCCTCCTCCTTTGTTTACCCTTCACATCCCTTCCCAGCCTCCCCCCGCCCCCCCTAGAATATTCTTAAGTCTGTTTACCTTCCTCGGCTCCCAACGCTGGAGGCACTAGGTGAACGTATTGGGGGGTGGACGCTAGTCATAGTAACAGGTCCTGAGGAGAGGAAATCATACATACTGATAAATGAATTAATTCACTAATGAATTATTATGGATTCAAAACCTTTCCTACTCACTTATTAGCACTATGCTGAAATTGAAAACACACATTAAAATTTCATAAAATGGTGTCAGAGTCCAAAGACAGTCTGTTATGGCTTGTTAGCCTAGTAAGTTTCCAATCTTAGCCCTACTGACTTTTGGGTGGGAGAGCCCTTTGGTGGGGGAATGTCATTCAGTAGCAGTACTGACCAGTATGAGTTGATGGTAGCACATCTCTACACTGATCTACTTATAAGTGTGACAATCAAAAATATCTTCAAGCTGGGCACTGGTGGCTCATGCCCATAATCCTAGCTACTCAGGAGAATGAGATCTGAAGATCGTTGTTAAGAGCCAGTCCAGGAAGAAGTCCTTGAGACCTTTATTTCCAATTAACAACCAAAAAAGCTGGAAGTAGAGCTGTGGCTCAAGTGGCAGAGCACAGGCCCTGAGCAAAAAAACTTCGGGGTCAGTGCCCTGCCCCTGAGTTCAAGCCCCAGGACTGGCAAAACAAAACAAAACTCCAAATCTTTCCTGCATTAGGTATGATCTCAGGGAGGATCTTATGTGCCAGTGAGAGCTATGGTAGGGGCTGATAATAAAAGAAGTTCAAGAAGGAAAGCAAGTATATATATATATATATATATATATATATATATATGAAATCAAACCAAGACTTGTGGAAGATAATGCAAGTCAGACAGAGGCAAAAAACAAGAGGTTCTGGACTACTGCCATGAATATGATGGCTAAAAAATCTATGGTGGCACTGGAGATTATAAGGCACTTTGTCCAATGCCTAACACGATAGGTTTACAAATGCTATAATGGCTTCCAGAAGTGTTCTGTCAAGTTATGCCCTCTTTCACACTCTCATCAATGAGTGTTATTACTATATTTCAATCTTGGCTAGTTCAAAGTTAGAAACCAAATCTATTTTGGTTTTTCTTATGACTAGTGTATGAGTAAACATCTTTGTTTACTGCTTTACTGGCTATATAGATTTCTTTTTAAAGGAAGTATTTGTTATGTCCTTTGACAATTCAAATATATGTATATGAACTTTTTGTATGAACCTGTCATGTGATAAATAGCTCATCTACCATGTTCTGTGATAACTATGTTTAACATATGCATGTCTACTTAAATTCTATTACTGCTTTATGTTTATGTGACTGATGGAAGACTTAAGAAATTCTCCTTTCCTTATTTTCATTTTCCTCTATTTTACCAAGATCTCCAGGAGTAGTGCTAGAATGTTTTTATCTCAGAAGAAATGTGGAGGTATGTTAACAATTATTAAAACACAATTAAACACCAAACAAACAACCAATGACTGATCTATGTATTTTCACATTCAGTGGTATCATGATCAGCTTCATTTATTAATAAGCATATAATACTAGTGCTACAGGGCCTACAAATTCTGTTGAAACTGAGAAGACAAGGAAGTACAACCTCTTTCCTTTTTCATAAGAATACTAATTTTATTTTTTTAAGAATACTAGTTTTAAATAACATAAAAGGGACTGGGAATGTGGCTTAGTGGTAGAGTACTTGCTTTATATGCATGAAGCCCTGGGTTCAATTCTTCAGTACCACATAAACAGAAAAAGATGAAGTGGAGCTGTGGCTCAAGTGGTAGAGTGTTAGCCTTGAGTAAAAGAAGCTCAGGGACAGTGCCCATGCCCTGAGTTCAAGCCCAAGATGGGCAAAAACAAACAAAAAAAACTACCCTCAAGATATATCTTATTTGTTTAAAAACAATGAAACAGAGAGATTTTTAGTCATTACAAGTTGAGTTAAAAAAAAAACATTTACCAAATCAGGAGCAGCTGACTTTACCTGCCAGTCCTGGCGATGGCACTGAGGAATTGGGTGACTGGACTGCTCTGTTTGAGGGTGGTCTTGGCTGTCCATGATCTGTAGTAGAATCCTTCCTCACCATACTGTCCAGCATAATAGTACTGGAACAATCAATCTCCAAAAACAAAAAATTATGTCAGCAGGGAAAATTACTTTTAAATATTAAAAAGCCACTTTAAACTCCTAAGAAAGCTTCACAAAGTTACTATCAAGTAATAAGATAAATTGAGAAGTTCTGATAGATTAATTTCCTCTGCAAACAATCTAGAAAAAAGTTTACAATCTTTGTAATATTCTACCTTAGTAAATATGCTGAGGATAGGATATCCTATTCAGAAGTCAAGTAGTTAAAAAGAGTATTGTACAATATTTACATTTAAAAATAGAAAGTAGTTGTATTAAAAAAAATGTACTGGATGCCTGTGGCTTACACCTATAATCCTAGCTACTCAGGAGGCTGAGATCTGAGGATCATGGTTCAAAGTCAGACCTGGTACAAAAGCCATGAAACTCTTATCCACAATTAAGAACCAAAAAGCTGGAAGTGGAGCTGTAGCTTAAGTGGTAGTGTGCTAGCCATGTGCACAAATTCTCAGGTACAGTGCCCATGCCCCAAGACCAACACACACACACACACAACCCCAATTTGGTAAGAGAAAAAGCACAATTTTATATTGCTGCAAAACTCTTTAACAGTGACCAGCTGTATTCTATTTGCCTATGCAGATGAACAAGGCAGATAGTCTTCTATCATGCCTAAACTGTCTGTTGAATATGAAGAAAATCTAGCCAGTCAAGGTGGCTCATGCTGGTAATCCTAGGTACTCAGGAGGCTGAGATCTGAGTATCAAGCCCAGGCAGTAAAGTCTATGAGACTTTTATCTCCAATTAACAACCAGAAAATAAGAAGTGGACTTGTGGCTCAAAGTCATAGAGTGTTAGTCTTGACCAAAAAGCTCAGGTACAAGCACCCAGGCTTGGAGTTGGAGTTCAGGCCTGACAAAGACAAACAAACAAATAAAAAAAACAAAAAAACCAACAAAACACCAGATCACTGAAGTCATGCATGCCTTCACACAAACAGAACTGTTTGGTTTCTCAAAGTATCACAGGATGTCCAAGTAGCCTACAACTTCAGAACAGATGCTCTGGGTATGCAGTGGGTAGATGACCTAGTCAACACATCACACACTGATTTCTAGAGTACCAATTCACTAGAGTACATTGTTGTTTAGTAGGAAAACAAACAGTGAGTGATCCCTTTGATACAACATATAAACAAGACTATTTTCCTAATTCAGTATCAGACTAAACAGTGATAGATTTCTAATTAAGAACTTAATACTTGCTGGGTGCTGACTCATGCTTGTCATCATAGCTACCTGGGAGATTGAAATCTAAGACTGAGGTTTAAAGCCAGCGTTGGCAGGCAAGTCCAAAAGACAGTTATCTCCAATTAATCAGCAAAAATGCTAAACAGAGCTATGATTCAAATGGTAGAGGACCATCCTTGAGGAAGAAAGCTAAGGGATAGTGTCCTGGCCCTAAGTGTAAGCCCAGCACTGGCACACAAAAATTTCTTAATGTTTTAGAAATAAATATACTTTCATTCCTAAGTATGTTGATTTTTGCAAGAATGTCCATGTGATTAAAATCCAGTTCAAACCCCTTACAGTCTTTGTATCAAAAAGTATTCTATAAGAGAACCACATTCGACAGCCCAATGCCATAGATTAAGTATATAATCAATTAATTTCTTGTTTATGCTCCTAAAGGGAATTCTGCACTGGTCAGTATGATCTAGCAGAAAATGTCTAATTTCTGTTATTCAACTTTTCTTCATCTTCTCTATATCCTCATTTCCAACTTTATTTTAATATATCACAATCTAGCCATTCACTTTCCCAGTCTATTCTCCTATATCTTAACTTCTCTCCTTTCCCACTCTGGGAATCATCTAGAAGACTTTTAACTCCAGGGCCCTGATAATCTGTTGTATGTCTGAATGTTCATATTTTCTATTTTTGCTATCATGTTTTTAATGTTTTAGAAGGGTTAAGAATGACTTCTGGAAACAAGTGTGTATCTTTTACTAAATCCAAGTTCACTGACAATTTTCAAAAGAGGTTGTTAATTTTTTTTTTTTTGGGTCCAGCCGTGGGGCCTGAACTCTGGGCCTGGGCGCTGTCCCTCAGCTCTTCAGCTCAAGGCTAGCACTCTACCACTTGAGCCACAGCGCCACTTCTGGCTTTTTTCTTTTTGCTTATGTGGTGCTGAGGAACTGAACCCAGGGCCTCAGGCATGCAAGAGCGCTCTACCACTGAGCCACCGTCCCAGCCCCCGAGGTTGTTAATTTTTGTGCATACTTACATCTGGAAGAGAAGGAAGATTGTAAGAGCTTCCTCCGACTGATGAATTCAAATCAATCATAGGTGAACCAAAGCCCTTTCCGTCGTAGCCTGCTGCACTGGTGATGGTGGGACTGGAGGGGGTGGAGGACGTGCTGCTGGCGGTGGAGGGGGCAGCCTGTCCGCTGCTGACCTGCCACTAGAGTAGCAAGAAGGGAAGGAAAACTGGCTGTCCATCATTAGGCATAGAATGTGGATTGTACCTAGTCACTCTTTCAAACACAAAATGTAGATGACAGTCTGCTGTTCAACACAATTACAATTCAAATCAAAGAAACAGGGATGAGGACAGGTATGTATAATTTTTAGTGATCTTGTCCCATAATATAAATAACTAGCATTGATTTTATTGCAAGACAACTAGTATATACTAGAGAGCACTATAGTTTTCAGTCTCAGGAAATAGAGGTTTGAAAACAGGATTTTGCACTTTTTAGGGAGATGTTTTTTCATATATACCAGGCCGTGATTCTGACCCCTACCTGAAATATACGAAAATAATAAGCATAAGGTTTTTTTCATCTTTGTTATTTTTCACATGTGAACAGTTAATTAAGCCTTAAAAAGCCAGGTTATCTTAGAAACTGAGATTAAATAAAAAACTATGATACTGTCAGGCTTGCTGAAGTATAAAGAAGCATGTTGTGTGGCTGTTTTAAAATCTAAAAAAAGAAATGGATCTTGATGGATAGATTCACAGCTAAATAGGCACATGGATATTATTTGGTAAAGCAAGCAGAACAAAAAATGTCCTCTATGGAATTCTTCCCACTTCTGGTATATCTGAAAATTTTCATAATACAATTTTGGGAAAAAGGAAAGTAACTGAGAGGTATCTCAAAACTATGGAAGGGAAAAAACTGCCAGTCACACATATATTGCATTGGATGACATTACAGAGAGATCATGACATTTTGATTTAAAAAAATCTAATCATATGCTTTGCTGTAAAAACTACACACAGAACCATATAAGATTGGTCGTGAAGGGCATTTTAATCTCCTGCCCACTTCTCAGATCTCATCTCCATCTATCCCATTCTCCTCCTCTCTCAAGAATAAACAATTATAGTTGGTAGATATCTATGTACCTCACAAAAATTCTGTGTTTTTCCTCACATAATATATGTAGGCAATCACATCCAGATTAGTATATTTTCTTAACATCTAAAAGTACTTTTAGTTTATGTGTTTTACTATTTGTTAATCTATTAAAACAAATTTCCTACTATATTTTTGTCTGATATGTATTTAGATTCTTGGTCAGAAGATATTTAGGGAAAAAACTGAGCTTTTACCCATTTAAATATAATACTTGGAAAAAAGAAAAAACAATACTTACAACATGGTAAATGCTTTTAGACACCAATTTAACTCATAGTAAAATATGTAAGGTACTCATCTTACAGTTGGGCTGATATTTGAAAAAATATTAACTTTTGCAAGGCACAAAATTATTAGGAAAATAAACAGAATTTTAAGGTTTAAAACTATCTTTTTTTTTTTTTGGGGGGGGGGGGGCGGTCCGGTCATGGGGCTTGAACTCTGGGCCTGGGCTCTGTCCCTCGGCTCTTCAGCTCAAGGCTAGTGCTCTACCATTTGAGCCACAGAGCCACTTCCAAGCTTTTTTCTCTTTGCTTATGTGGTGCTGAGGAATCGAACCCAGGGCCTCAGGCATGCAAGGCAAGCACTCTACCACTGAGCCACCTTCCCAGCCCGTCCTTTCTATCTTATCTGTAATAATAAACAAGAAATAAACTTTTTTAATATATCTAATATAAACTTTTAATATATCTAATATAAACTTTTTAATATATCTAACAAACTTTTCAGTTCAAGTCTTTGTCTTAGACTTAAAAAAAGAAACTTTGTTATACCAAAGCCAAACTGGGGATATACAGATACACATATGCATAAATTTGAAACCAAACTTTGCTGTGTTTTGACTGCAATGTTATGAAATTATAGGATAGCATCATCTTTTCTTGGTCTTTGTAAAAACAAAACAAAACAAACAAACAAAAACTAAGCGAAAATTGGCCTATAAGCCTTCAGCTAGAAAGACTGTGGACTCGGGAGCTATGACAGTTCAGAGTACTAGATGGGTTTTAAAATAAAGTAAAATATATAAAATAATTTTACCTGAAGACATCAGGAATATAAATGACAAATCATATCAGATTCAATATACAACCTTAAATGTTAGTCTTTACCAGATTAGCTATATTGCAAATTGAAACCGTACTACACCATTTGTTTCCAAGAAGTCTTCTTGAAAACATTCTATGGAATACAATTTGGATTTGTTGAAGTTTTGAAAATATAATGTGCTTATCTAAAAGTTTATATACCAGAAGTGTGAAATCTAATCCCTGGGATTGTATTATACTTTGTTGATCACAAAGCCCCGAGATTCTCTCTCTTACCTTTTCTCTATGGGTCTATTTATAATAAACTTTGTAATTCATAGTCATTACCAAAAATGAGAAAAAGCAAGTTTACTTTTGCTCTCCATTACCTACTGCTTGGTCTATAAACTGAATGTAATTGGAAAGAGGCAGAAACAGTGTAAGAAAATGAGAGAGTAGATATATATATATACCTGTTTAATGGCTTGTTGAGCCAGGAAAGCCATTTGTAGGGGATTGGGTTTTATTGCTTGGCGTGGTACACTCTGGCTTGGTGGGTACCTCAGCTGTTGAGGATGAGGAGGAAGAACTGGTCCATTGGGTTTAGGGTTGTGGTTTTGAAAGTTTATCAGACGTGGAGGGGATTGCTAGAAACAAGAAATTTCACCACTTCAGTAATAATTATATAAAAATGTTTTAGAGATCTTTTTATAAAATTTGAAAAAGACAGAAACCTTGTAACAGATGAAATTATTTACTAAAATTAAAAAAAATGAAGGAGGACAGACTTTTGGAATAAGTGTAATCCATCTTTAAAAATGAGTTTTATTAAGAAAGAACCTTGGGAATGAGGTTATGATACCAAGATGGCTACAGACCATAGGGAAAGCAGATGAAGGGCTGTTTGGTGTCCTCCTAAACTCTGGATGATAGTTGCAAAGAACTTCTCACTTCAAACTTCCTCAAATAAAGTGATGATGGAATAATAATCGCTAAAATTTACTGAATTGTTATTAAATACCTAATATTGCTTTTGTGTGTGTATCTGCTGGTACTGGGCCTACCATTCTTGCTTGGCTTGCTTGGTCATGGCTGACACTCTGCTGCTTAAACCAGGATTCTGGTCCAGCATTTTATTTTTTTATTTTGAAGATGGAATCTTGAAGCTGGATGTCAGTGGCTCACACCTGTAGTCCTAGCTACTCAGGAGTCTGAGACATGAGGATCATGGATCACGGTTTGAAGCCAATCCAGGCAAGAAAGTCCCAAGGAGACTTCTTTATCTCCAATTAACCACTCAAAAACTGCAAGTGGAGCTGTGGCTGAAAGTGGTAGAGTGCTAGCCTTGAGCAAAAGGTCTTTGGGATAGTACCCAAGTTCAAGTCCCACAACCCACCAAACCAAACCAAACAGGTATGCTGTTTAATCCAGGATATACCCTGGATTTCACATGCATTCTTTATCAAATTGCTAGAAAGCCATGAATTTCAAATTCATCATTATATCTCAGGCCTTGATAGAAATGACTTAACCAAAACCAAGGTACTAATTATAGAACACATGCTTTAGCATGTGTAAGACCCTTGGTTCCATCTCAGCACCAGAGAAAAACACTTCCTGTGTCTAACTTTTAGTGAGAGTTGAGGGTACTATAAAAACATTTTTACAAAGGGTATGCCATTTAACTGCATTCTCCACAAAGAGCCATATTTCAGGGGGGGATGAGAGTGGATGCCTATAATCCTAGCACTCCTGGCACTCAGAAGGTGGAGGTGTGTGTATATATATATATATGTTCCTCTTAGTAGTGAAAGCTTTCTCCTCTTAATGATGGTTCCTTTTTATTAGATGGTAACAAATATATTCTGTAGTTGTTTTTCTTGGGTATGAATAAATTTTGAGCTAAGATGAAGGTATGGTAGAGTACTTTCCTAGCCAGTACAAGACCTTAGTTCAAAACCCCTGCACTGCCAAAAACAAAAAAATAGAAGCCAAATCAAATTGTGGCCTATTTTGTTGTTAAGAGTAGTAAGAATTCTTAGTCTAGGTTTTTTAAACCCCATTAGATTTTTAAATCCCATTCTATTTGTGTCATATACCACAATCACTTCAAATCTTTTGCAGAAACAAGTAGACTGTAAGTTACAGAAAAAAGTAACTGAGAATGAGGATTTATAAATTAAGACTTGTGGATGAGATATTTGCTCAGAAATAAAGCATGAAGAGGGGAAGATTCTAAAAAGCCATATTCTTGCCCTTTTCTATTCAGATTCCATTTTGCCCTGGTTTCTAAGATGAAATGTGGTTTTTTAAGCACTGTTTTGCCAGAGAGAACTGGTCCTTAAAGTATGAGTCATTCTGAGCACTGACATAGGAATTAAGAGGTATACAGCTTTTCCCATCAATCACAGGTATGGGTTCTTTGGGAAAATAAACATTGATCTCCCATTAGAACCTCAAAGGCAATGAATAGTAGACAATAATGGATGTACCAACTTAATAAATCATCATTTTTAAGTTGTACTGATAACTCTGTGTTAAATAAGGGATTCCTAGAGTGGTAAATTTTTATAAATTCATATAGTTAAATTAAAGATGGTGGATGTATTGATTATTTTATGTTGAGCACAATTAGACTACAATGATCTAAGTTAGGACAGGCCTGCTTCCAAATTTACCTGATGAGAGATGGAAGGTTGCTGGATGGGCCCCTGCATTCTAGGGTTTGGTAAACCCACAGGTGCTGGCCTCCGTTGCACCTGTTGCCTCTGAGCCATTACCTGTTGCTGCATATGCTGGAGTCGTAATTGAGCTAGGCTGATCTGTGTTGGAAACTTGGATAACTGGTTTGAAGGTAAACCACCTGATGGCTGTGCATTCTGATCCACCACAGGATTCTGCTTAGGCATTTGTGGTTGGCTCTCTTTATCTTCAATTACTAGAGAACCTAATTAAAGAGGAAAGAGCATAGGATAAAGGTTTTTTAAAAAATGATTGGTGAAATGTTACATTATGTATGGATATTTTTGCTAAACTTAATTGCCAAGGAACTTTCCGATTTTAGAACTCCTGTAAACTCTTAAAAACAAAGGAACTCCAAAGAGGTTTTATCTGTGCAGATTCTATCAATCAAAATTTATCATATGAAAATGAGATTTTACAAAAAATTACTAATTTAACTAAATTTAACTCATTAAAATAATAGTTAAGTCAGAGTAACCCTTTTTTTTTTGGGGGGGGGGGTGTGGAAGAGTGACTTCTTTTTTTGTCCTGGTACTGGGGCTTGAACTCAGGGCCTTGCATACTCATCATAGCTTTTTTGCTCAAGGCTGGAGTGGCATTTAAAAATCTAAATGACTGGCTTTTAAGAGCTGAATTATGGTAGCTGTTTTTGCACTATAATACAACATACTGTTTACATTAAAATATATGATGAAGATCTGATCTCACATAGATATGCACCTGGAAAGGGAATCTACCTTGAGAACTTCTATTTCAAACAACAAACCTGATGTTGGTGCTAGAAATAAAATCTACAGAGTATATCTGATTTTTTACAATCCCACATTTCTCCCACCATTTCAATACATACAATGCTAGCTCTCATACTGAATGTTTTCCAACTACTGTTTTAGAGCTTTTAACTTTATAACGTCAAAGGCAGTGATATGTTTCTGATTTACTAAGCATGCATTCTAAACAAAAGTGAAGCTGTGTTCATTAAAATCTTATTGTGCATTTCTGGTGCTGCAAGTGCTGTGTGTGTGTGTGTGCTATATGTAAAAGGAAATGTTAACTAGCAAAGGGATCCAAGATTCAGAGACCAAAAGACTTACCCAAAGTCCTCGAAACACTAACCTAATTTTCATCAAAATCAATGGTTTTCTTTAGTACTCTTATATAAAATATTTCTCAGGAGTCATGGTTAAACAAGTTGGGAATCTTGTCTCCATCATCTCTCCTGCTTGGGAGATTTACAATGTAAATTTCATTGTAAATAAAATTACTAAGCTGTAGTGGGAGGTGGACAAATATAGCCATAATTCAACAGATGTATATGAAAAAGCAGGAAACCACGTGACTGGTGATGGAAGGTGGAAAGAATGATGGAAGGAGTGATTATCAAGAGTCATTGGACACATACGTAAATGCTAAATTGTAACTCCTTGTACACCATCTGAAGTAATTGTTTTAAAAGCTACTAAGCTGTAAATGACAACATGTCGAATTTTCAGTGCTTAACTTTTTAAAAAAAATTTTGTGTCTCAAACTCAGTTATATAACACAGGCTGGAGTGAAAACTTGTGAGGTGCTGGGATTACAGGTGTATGCTAACATCCTTGATAAATCAGTTTTCACTAACTCATTTAACTCACTTATCCTGTTTTGTTTTTAACTATATTCCCCTAAAACTACATCCATTTTATATGTTAAGGTTTAAATAAACTGCTTCATTGGTAAGGAAGGTTGTAGGCTGCCTACTACCAATAGGCACAGGGCTATCTATACTTCTAAAACTGGCCTGCAGGGGTCTCTTTATCACTTCTGCTTCAAAGACTCTTTTTGTTCTTCCCTTGAATGGAAGAGATTTGTATACATTTCTATTTCTTTCAGGAGCACTGGCCCCTCTCCAGCCATGTTTTTTCTCTTCCTACACAGAATCTAGCCTTGGGGATGAGGTTGCAGCCATCTTTGATGATTTTGAAACAGTCAATGAATCTAAAAAAGCATTTCCAGAGGGAATACTGGGTTTTGATGTACAAACAATGCATAAGGAATTTTTGGTTTTGTTGTGTCCTTGGTGAGAAATTAAGGAGGCAAAAAAGACTGGTTTAACTCAGCAAATAGCATAACAAAAAAGCAAAAGTGACAACTTTCTGCTGAACAGCTTGCAAGGCCATTCTATCTCCTAATGATCATCAATCTGTGTGATTATTTAGTATGCTCTAATACTTAAGATTTGGATACTTTTCTGTATGTTATATTATACTCCAATTAAACATAAAGGCACACAAACACACATTTATAACTATGCTAGGCAAAAGAAAAAAAAGCCTCTTCCCTAAATAAGATAAAGCAATCGAACCATTTGGTACTTCGTAAGTGGACCTAAAGAAAAGCTGATAACAATATAAGCAATGATACTTTAGCAGAAAAGGTGAAATACAAAAAAGAAAGAAAAGAGAAAAAAATCCTGGGTTGGGAGATGGATGAGTGGTAGGGCACTTATTTTGTATGTGCAAGGCTCAAGCTTGGATTCCTAGGAACACAAACTTTATACTTTTTAAATATTAAAAAAAAACAAAACTCTATGCACAAACAATCCAGAGGCAATCTGTTCCGATAAATTTAGAGCAAACAATACAAACAAGATTCTGTGAGGCTGGAGGGTGACCCTCAAACTCCTTATACCTGCCCTGTAAATCAATACAAATATTTTCATGCCATCCAAGTATGTACATGTTATACTCATGCACATTTGTTTCTATAGACATTAACATACTCTGCAACAAAAACAGCATGTCTTTTTAGAAAGTTAATGGAAACTCTTAGGGTATGGGAGAAATGTACATAAAGACTTACCTAAGTTGATAATATTCTGGGCCCAGAAACTTGGATCACAGTGAAACTGGATGGTGTTATTTGTCACTGGGGAAGCGTCACACCTTGCACGAAGGAGGTGCCGCAGCCGGTATGTAATCTAGAAGAAGTACAAGGACAAGTGAACATTAGTGTCTTTTTTTATTTTGTTGGTCATGGGGCTTGAACTCTGGGCCTGGGTGCTGTCCCTCAGCTCTTCAGCTCAAGGCTAGCACTCTACCACTTGAGCCACAGTATCACTTTAGGTTTTCTAGTGGCTTATTGGAGATAAGAGTCTCACAGACTTTCCTGTCAGGTGATCCTCAGATCTCAGCCTCCTGAGTAGCTAGGCTTACAGGCGTGAGCCACTGGCACCCGGCTAACATTAGTATCTTTATCAGGAGAATAATTCATCATGTGCCCAGTGAAGCTCTAAAAGTGTCCTCTTGTATATGTATGCCAACACACAACAAGCAACTGTAAAAAGCTTATAAAGGTGGCATAATTTTCTTTTCAAAACACATTACATTTTGAAGTATATCTTCAACTGGTAAGCTAGGTTTTTTTTAAGTTAACAATAAAAGTTTACAGAAATAACTCAAGTATATTTCTAAAATAAAATGTTTTTAAGATACCTTGTTTTTTTTTGGCTTATTTAACTTATCCTTTTATTAAGTTTTTTGAACTTATGGCTGAATATTTGCTAGGCAAGCACTGGAGCCACATCTCCAGCCCTTTTATTTAGTTATGTTTCAAACAGGGTCTCACATTTGGCTAGGAGATAGTCGAACCTCAAACCTCTAGCTGCCTACAAGATTAGTCTTATGCAAATTATTCCCCATGCCCCTCTCTCTTCCTTTCTCTTCTCTCTCCCTTGCTCACTGGACACCCTTGGATATGAACTCAGGACTATGGACTTGCTAGTCAGGTGCTCTAGCACTTGAATCATGTCCCAGTCCCTTATTCAATAACTCTTTCAAAGGATACAGAATTTAGTCTTAGGAGGCTGATGAGATATAGGCCAGGTAGTAGACTGCTTCTCACTATGACTTGGTCCCTACCACCTTCTTATAAAGAGTCAGCTTTTAAACAAGTTATACTGTACCTGCTTCTCTCCCATGAACCTCTCTCATGTTCCATCCATCCTTGAAGATTTCACTTCTTGGTTTACTAACATCATCATCTTGAAAATAACTCACAATTCTTGATTCCAATATCCAGTTAGATGATATTTCTCTGTCCTTCCATTTCACTTTCCTTTCCTATTACTCAATATCTAACTTAAATCCCAGGACAATCATCATAATAATCTTCTTGCATGAAACTTTCCCAACTAAATATACTCTTCCCTTTAATGAACCTTTCCTCACAAAAAACAATGAAGCAACCCACACTGATCAAGTCTTTCTGCTTGAATATAAATGCACTGATGTAGCAAGTGACCTCACTTCAAATGACTATTTACTTATTAAGACACCCCACCCCAAGGCTATCATATGACATTTTGTTTTTCATTCACTTTTCTACTTTCTCCTGAGTCACTATTTCATAACTTCCTCTTCCTTGTGAAATTTTTGGCATCCTCCCCAAACCCATTCTTACTTTCAGCTGTTGGCCTTGCTTTTTATTTCATTGAGAAAAAAGGAGCAGGAACCTTTTTTGATTCATCTCCAAACTTCCCTTTGTAATGAGGGATGAAATGCCCAAACTTCTAGATAAAGCCAATTGTTGGCTCTTATGCATCAGAGCCCATTCCCTCTTGTTTTCTCAGCAATTTTCATCCCTCTCCTCCAACACCAAATTTTCCTTTTTTTCTAGGGTATAGCCATCACCATATAAATATGCTTTAACTTCTTCCAGCTAAAAACAAAACCACTAGCAAGTGGCTCACACTTGTAATCCTGTAATCCTAGCTACTCAGAAGGCTGAGATCTGAGGATTGCAGTTCGAAGCCAGCCTGGGCAGGAAAGTCTGTGAGTTCTTACCTCCAAGTGGCACTGTGGCTCCAGTGGTAGAGCCTTGAGCACAAAGAGCTCAGGGATAGAGCCCAGACCCTGAGTTAAAGCCCCAGGATTGGCAAAAAGAAAGAAAAAAACCCCAAACAAACAAAAACACTATCCCTTACAGCTTCTGCCCCATATATAAATATAACGAAATCTTCAAAAGACTCATTTATATATATTGTCTTCCATTTTTGCCTAAAGCCATTATATGCAGGCTTACTGTTTCCATGGGGCAGTATACTATAAGGGCAATGTTTCTTCCTGATTTCACTAGCTGTAAGAATACATTTGGGTTCCAAAGTCAAAACTATTTTTGAACTCTCCCCTTGAGCTAAAACGAGAAGAGCTTGGGTTCCCATTCCCCTTGTTTGCGTTGTATAACCTTGTGGTGTCTCCACAGTGGGTGCTTTCTTCTCACCCAAGAAAGAGTGCCCCAGGGCTAAGCATTTCTGATTTTCCTTCTAGAGTCCTCTATTTTTCAGTAATTTTATCCAGTCTCATACTTTCAATGCCCTTAGACCTCTAGCTTGACCTCTCCTTTGAACCTGGGTTTCTAATTGCTTACTATCTACACCTGATTTGTCTAATAAGCACCACAAATCTACCTATCTAAAAGGGAAGTCATTTTTTGGATTGTTTTGTTTGTGCTCATACTGACCTCTCAATCTTGATAGGTTTTTTTTCCCTCACAATGGTGCTCTACTATCACTTGAGCCATATTTCTACTTTGAGCTTTTTGCTGGTTAATAGGCAAGAAGAATCAAGGATTTGTTAGAAAAAAACTTTCCTCCTTTGTGCAGAAAAGCTTAGGGCCAACACCAAGATGCTCAGTTCAAACCTTAGGCCTGACACAAGAAAAGCAGGAGGAGGAAGAGGGGAAGAGGAAGGGGAGGGGGAAAGAGGAGAGGAAGAAGAGGACAGCTTGGAAGTGTCCTTCCTTTTTGATCTTGTGGAAGAGTTTTGAATAGTTCTATTTAAGTCTTGTAAAATTCAGTGGTGAATCTGGTTCCAGGCTTTTAGCTTTATTACAATTTCATTTTGGGGGGCAGGGAGGTGAAGAGGAAGCTGGAGCTGGGATTTAAACTAGGGGCCACCTTCACTTGGCTGGCACTCTGTAGTCTAGCTTTTTGTTGGTTGTTTTGGAGATGGAGTCTCCTGGACTCTTCTGCCCAGGTAGCCTTCAAACTACAATTCCCCAGTCTTAACCTTTTGAGTAGCTAGGATGACAAGTATGCACCACTGGTGTCCAGAAATTTTTCTTATGGATCCTTTTAGTTTTGATAGATCATAAAAATGTTAGTACATTTACTTCACCTAGATTTTCTTATTAGTTCAAAAAAAGTCCCTAGCAATGCTTTTGATTTCAGTAATGTGTTGTAACATCTCCATTTCCATCTTTAATTTTACTAATTTGTTCTCTTCTGATAAGCTTGGCTAAAGGTCTGCTAATATTATTTTTCTTTTTGATTTTTTTTTTTTTTTACTAGTTCTGGAATTTGAACTCAGGGCCTCACGCTCTGCATGCTTGCTCACTGCTGGTGCTCTACCACTTGAGCTACATATGCCTCCAACTTATCTTTTCAAAGAATTAATTCTTTGTTTCATTTATAGTATAGTTGTTATTAATTTCAGCTATTTCCTTCTACTACTTGGCTTGCTTTTGTATTTTTTAAGACCTTCAGACATATCCATTGGTTGAGATATATTTATTTTTTCCTTTTAGTGGCTCTTTGAGATAGAATCTTGCTGTGTATTCTACGTTGGCTTGGAACTCAAGATCCTTCTGCCCACTTTTGCTCCTCTATGTTAAGAGTTGTAAAGAATCATGTATGGCTTTTGATTTTTTTTTTTTAAATGTAGGCACCCAAGCAATAAACTTCACAACTATAAACTATAAACCTAATTACTCAAGTGGCTGAGATCAAAGATAATCAGAGCAGACAAATCTCTGAGATGCATCTTCAGTAACCAACAGCAAGTCAGAACTGGAGGCATGGTTCAAGTGTAGAAATCTGGCCTTGAACAAAAAAGAATGAGGTTTTGAGTTCAAAGCCCCAGTATTGGCACCAAAACAAAAACAAAATGCTTTTGTGGATTTCACAGATTCTGATATATGTTTCTAATTACACTGGATTCTAGCAATAGTTAAATTATCTCTGTTTTCTTCCTTTGGATAATCCATTGATCATTTGAAAGTCTACTTTCTAATCTCAATGGATTTGTTGATTTCTGGTTTTATTCCATTATACTCTGATAAAATACAAGAGATTTATTGCAGTTATTGTATTAATAAAACTTGCTTTGTGGCCTAAAATATGATCTATTTTGGAAAAAGTTTCATGAGCTTGATAGAAGACTCCTCTAGATCTACAGTACAGGTTAGCGCTAAAGCATCTTCTTGGGTATTCTGTTTAGATGACCTATTTAGTAGTGAGAGTTTGGTAGTTACTAAGCCACCCAATATTATTGTATTGGGGCCTATCTAACACTTAATGTCCACAAAGTGTTGTCACATACATAGACACACAATTCTTATGCCTTTGGAAGGATTGTGGTTAACTCTTTTTGTATCTCCTCACTAATTATGGCTTTAAATACAGTGTCCCATATGAATATAGCTTCTCTTGCTTGACTGGAGAATGTTTGGAATATCTTTTGCCATTGTTTCATTCACTTATTTTTCTTTGTGTTGGTGCTGTGGGGTCTTAGGTTTTTTGCTTAAGGCTGGTACTCTACCACTTGAGCCAATACCTTCACTTCCAATATTTTGGTGGCTAGCTGAATATAAGGAGTCTCTCACTTTCATGCCTAGGTTGGCTTTGAATTATGATTCTCAGATTTCAGCCTCCTTAGTATCTAGGATTACAGGTATGAGTCACCAATGCTGAGTTATTTCATTTTCTTTATTCTTTTAATGTTTAGGTTTTTTAAAAATCCAACCACAATTTGTCTTTGGTTGGAAAATTAAAACCATTTATAGTCAAGATTAATATTCATTGGTATTGTTCTTGCATTTGATTGTTTTCATAATGTTTGATTCTTTTTCTCTCCCTCCTTTCCTTATAGTGATATTTATTCCTTTTGGTACGCTCATGGTTTTATTTATCTTCCTCGTCTCTGTGTAGGATTTCTTTAAATACCTCTGCAATGCTGGCTCAGTGGTTATGAATTTCTTTAGTTTATCTTAGAAGGCTCTTAGCTTTTCATTCAATTTTGGAAAATAACTTTGTTGAATATAGAAATGTAGGTTGGCAGTTTTCTTCTTTCAGGAGTTTAAATACATCATTCCACGTCCTTGCAGATTTTCTTTTAAGAAATGTACTATTACTATAATGGGTTTGCTTTATATATGACTTGGCACTGTAATATGATGCAAGGAAGTGCTTTTCTATTCCTGTTTGTGGTTTTAAATATCCCCCTATACTCAAATGTCCACACCTTAAAATTTAGGAAAATTTCTGCTACTACTTCACTGAATATGTTTTCTTAGTTCTTTAGTCCTACACCTCAGGTGCCCTTGTATACAGCAAAAATTTGTTTTCATCTTTAATCAACTCTAAAAGTCTCAAATGTTCAACTGATACTTTTTTATTTTTATTACTGTGAAATAGTAATTAATCAACCCTGTCTTTAAGCTTTTTTTTTTAAATACTGTTTGATCTGGCCAACTGGAAGGCTTTTCACTGAGTTTTTAAAAAATTACTTAATGAACTTTTGATTTCCAAGATTTCTGCTTCATTTCCAAGATTTCTGTTTGACTCTTCAGAAAAATCTCTCGTTTTTATGTATTCACTTGGAATTCATCAAAAAATAATTCTTTTGAATTCTTTAAGTGGCATTTCATTCCTTCAATATATTTGGAGTCAGTTTGAAGAGAATTATTAACTTTGAAGAGTCATGCTGTCTTAATTGCAATTTCTATTTCTATGTTGAGTCCTTTTGGGATGCTTCTACTTTTGTGTGAGGGCTTTTTTCTTTGCGGGGGGGGGGGGGGGGGGGGGGGAGGGGGGATGGGGAGTGTCAGTCATGGAGGTTGAACTCAAGGTCTGGGGCACTATTCCTGAGCTGTTTCGCTCAAGGCTAGCGCTCTACCACTTTGAGTCACAGCTCTACTCCCAGGTTTCTGGTGGTTAATTGGAGATAAGAGTCTCATGGATGGTTTCAAACTATGATGCTCAGATCTCAGCCTCTAGAATAGCCAGGATTACAGGTATGAGCCCACTAGCACCCAGCAAAAATAGGAATTTTTAAGAATGCTTAAATGGATTAACTTTCAGTGGTTAATGTCTCCTAGATCTCTCCTACTCAAAACATGGTCCACAGCACGGAAGTGTGAGCTTTTTAAAGAAATTATCAGTCAAGGGCATGGCTAAAGCAGTAGAGCACCTGCCCACCAAGTGTGAGGTCCCAAATTAAAACTCCAGTAGTGCCAAAAGTAAATTTAAAAATGTGCAGTCTTGCCCATGGTAGACCTACTATATAGACATTTTCCAGTGATTTAGAAGGAACAAGCAGACTCTTAGAAACAAGCTTCTAGACTATTGTCAAGACCAGTGTTCTTCAACTGATCACCAAAAACTCAGAAGTAGAACTGTGGTTCAAGTGTGAAACTGTGTAAAGAAAGCTCTGGGACAGTGCCCAGGCCCTGATTTCAAGCCCCAGCCCTGGCACATCTATTGTGATGACAAGAGAGAGACTGATCATGCTGTGTAATGTGGACGGAGATGTTTATCTCATTAAGAATGACAAAAAAGGGCTGAGAAGATGGCTCAGTGGTAGAGCGCTTGCCTTGCATGCCTGAGGCCCTGGGTTCGATTCCCCAGCACCATATAAGCAAAAAGAAAAAAAAAAGCCAGAAGTGGTGCTGTGGCTCAAGTGGTAGAGCGCTAGCCTTGAGCTGAAGAGCTGAGAGACAGCGCCCAGGCCGAGTTCAGGCTCCACAACCGGACCCCCCCCCCAAAAAAAAGAATGACAAAAAAAAGTCTAAATAATATGACAAATGCTTAGAATTACACCCAGTCACACTATAGTTAATCAGTTAAGATGTTTCTATCATTTATTATTAGGTTCAATGGGTGTACAAAACAGGAGAATAGGGGCTGGGAAGGTGGCTCAGTGGTAGAGCGCTTGCCTTGCATGCCTGAGGCCCTGGGTTCGATTCCTCAGCACCACATAAGCAAAAAAAAAAAAAAAAAGCCGGAAGTGGTGCTGTGGCTCAAGTGGTAGAGCGCTAGCCTTGAGCTGAAGAGCTGAGGAACAGTGCCCAGGCCCAGAGTTCAGGCCCCACGACTGGACCAAAAAAAAAAAAAAAAAAAAAGAAAATGCAAGTTCAAGCCCTAGTACCAGCACCAAAAAAAAAAAAAAAAAGAAAAGAAAAAAAAAAACCAGGAGAATAGCAGGTCAAAATTGAAGATAACTTAAATCATGATTTTTTTAGAAAACAAATATTTTGATCAATTAAAATTTGGAATAGATTAAAAAATATTTAAATAAAACCTGACAAATAGCCACTTGTATTTTTTTGTGTTTGCGTGTGTGTGTGTGTGTGTTTTTTATGAGACAGGGTTTTGCTATGTTGCCCATGCTGGCCTTGAACTCCTGAGCTCAAGTGCTACTCCTCCCAAAGCTTTTTTGAGTTGCAAAGACCAGAGGTATACACCACTGTACCCTGCCCATTTCTTAATTTTAAGCATCCCAATAACTTATAGAATCTAAGCACCATACTTCATCTTACCAGTCTCTTGCTGTAAAGTAATGCTGTACTGCTGCCGCTGGAAACTGCCCATTTAGAAAAATGCATGACATGTTCCAACTGCTTAGAAAGTCCAGCCACTTCCTGCTGTTGCTGCATAAGTTTCATGCGATGGTCCTTTGCAAGGCTCTAATAGAAGAAAATAGTTTCTAAATTAAGTCTTTGTGCATGACATTCATTGGTCATTTTCAGGTCACTAAACTGGTCAACCACACTAACTATGAATTCAGTCAAAAACAGCAGTCAAAAATAACCTTAAGCTGGGAGTCAGTGGCTCATGCTTACAATCTTAGCTATTCAGGAGGTTGAGATCTGACTGAGGATCAAGGATCAAAGCCAGATCAGGGAGATTCCTATCTGCCAGGAATCACTCAAAAATCAGAAGCGACACTGTGGCTCAAAGTGGTAGAGTGCTAGCCTTAAGCATAAGAGCACAGGGACAGCATCCAGGCCCTGTGAATGCCCAGGGTCCAAGTTCAAAGCCCCACAACTGACCAAAAAAAAAAAAAGAATGAAAAAATCCTTAAGTGTTTTTTCCTCTAGTATTAAATTTACTTTCCAAACATTTTCTCCTATCTTCAGCCCTTTGTTTTGGTTTTACATATTCTGGACATCAACTGTGTTTATGTGTCTTACTAAACACAAAATGGACAAAAGTATGGATTCTCTATAATAAATATTAAATTCAATATTTACAAATAAAATGGATGCACAAAATAGGGCAATGAAAATGGAGTCCATCTGGGCTATTTTAAAAGTTATCACTCAACAACTTTATCATTGACCTGACAAAGAAAGGGAAAAGAAAGCTTTCTACTGGCTCAGCCAAATTTAAAAAGTTTAATACAAGTATAAGGGCTATATTCCAAAATGGACTTATCTTTTCATTAAAGAGTAAATCTAGATATCTATCCAATCAGTTCCAAACTTAGAAAATACATATGAACTAAATTCTATTAGCCATTTAAGGGATTGAAAACAGTAAATGAATGCTCTTGTCAAATCTAAGTTCAGAGGGAAGGTAATGTACCAATTATGCCATTCCTGATGTCTGTGAGACCTAAGTGTTTCTTTGGAAAAGCTGTAGTAGAAATAGAAACCTGTTGTCTTTTGGGAGAATGGGAACTGAGAATCAGAGACTACAGAGTTTTTCTTTTCTAAGGTAACAACTTTTTGAGCCTTAGCAGATAAAATATTTGTTTGCCTTAAAAGAAAACTTTGAACCAAGACAACAGATATAAAACATAGAGACACATTATAGAGGTGCACTGGAAATTAAAGTCAAAGTAAATTAAAAACAATACTGATAGCCAAATCTATCTTCATACGTTTTATCGTTTTATTTATAATTTTTTAGAGTTCTTTAAATGATTCTTATATAATGTTTGGAAACACAGCCAAAGCAGTTATATGCATTACTAATCTCTAGGGAAGCAAACCAAAGTGACATTTGTTAAAGAGCTTTGAAAACTTCAAAATCTTCTTTACCTATCTCTTCTTGCAAATAGAACAATACAAAAATCCTGCAAAGAACTTTAGTAACAGTTATTATGAACAGGGTCTTATTCCTTCTGTTCATAATTATTTTAATCTTTATTTCCTGTATGGCTAATTAAAGTCATGGGAATAACCTTCTGAGAAAGTTGTTATAATGTGATCAATTATGAAATAAAGATGGCTATCATTTCTAGGAGTCTTGTTTTCCCTCAATTCTGCAAACACTAAGATTCCTTTATTCTGGTTTAAACTTCTTGATTAAATTCCTCCTGCATCAACAAACTAAAAGAATATTTATAAGCTCATGTGTACTATGTAAAAAGTCGTAACCTCCTATTACTTGAAGTCAATCAATGATTTTTGGACATTATCCTTTATGAGTTTTAAGAAAAGATGAAGTTAGGGCTGGGAAGGTGGCTCAGTGGTAGAGCGCTTGCCTTGCATGCATGAGGCCCTGGGTTCAATTCCTCAGCACCACATAAGCAGGAAAAAAAAAGCCAGAAGTGGTGCTGTGGCTCAAGTGGTAGAGTGCTAGCCTTGAGCTGAAGAGCTGAGGATAGTGCTCAGGCCCAGAGTTCAGGCCCACGACCAGACCCCCCGCCCCCTCCCCCAAAAAAGATGAAGTTAGAAGAAACTTTCCTAACATCTCTTGAAATGATGCTTTCACAATTAACATTGTAAAATTTGACAGCAGTTGTTGTATTATTTTACCTAATTTCTCAAAAGATTAAATATGCAGTCATGCATGGTTTAACAAACAATGGGGATGTGTTATTAGAAATGTGTCATCAAGCACTTTCATCCCTGTGCAAAACATCAAGTACTCACACAAACTAAGTTGGTTATCAAGTCACCAGAAGGCAAAATATGAGATCATTGTTGCATACACACATATATATAGCTCTCTCTCTCTATATATATAGCTTGCTGGTGCATGACTATATATTAAGACTACATATAACTAATAGTTCGGCTTTCTAGAAAGTTCTGCTGAACTTATTCCCTTTGGCAACGTAAAAATATCACTTCAACGAGTGTCTAAAATAAGTCATCTCTTCAACAGTCACATTGCTTTTCCCATGAGCAAGACTATATGCTTTGTGCTACAAGGCATACAAGGAAAAAAACATTCCTAGTACATTATAAAGCTATAAATGGTTTATAACAATGTAGGACCTGGCAAAAAAAATTGAGAATAGAGAAGATGTATTTTAAATCATAAATAGAAACAATCATGGGGAAAGAAGTATGACTTCAAATGCACAAACACATTAGAAAATACAATCTTAAATCATTGCAACCTAGTGGACCCTGGCAGTAACTTACCTCTAGCTGATGTAGCAGAGCTTTTCCTTTTTTATTTATTTCTACCATCAGTGTGAAGATAGCAACTTTAATATCCTGTTCCACCTGCTTTTGATTTTGATTTACTTCAATTATTCTGAAAATTAAGTGAAAGAGGGGGAAAACATCTAAACTTTAATACAGATTTGTAAAACACTGTTTTAACTTGACTTTTTTTTGCCGAAATTAGATCAAAAAAGCTCTATTTCAGTGGACTGTCTTGAAGATAGGACAGGAGAAATAATTCTTCTCAAAGACAAAGTCATTCAACTTAGTCCTAAAATCAAATAATATTGGAAGAGAATGAACACAATTTGGTTGAAAAGATTATCACACTCAGGAAAATCAATACTTCGCTTAAAAGGATTTGGTGAGGACAGTAGACCAAAACTAAAATTTATAAATGAGGAAAGCGCGAATGTGATCTTAGCATCTGAACTGCTAAAGTTTTCATTAAAACTAAGCAGAATAACAAAGATAGTAGTGGTTTGTTTCACTTTGTAAACACATTTACTTTGAAATATGCAGCAACACAACTATATTTTATCAAACAAGTTTTCTTTCTTTGATCAGAGAAAACTGGGAATGCCATCTCATGGTGATGAAATGAAATCAGAAGAAAGCATAAAGCACCATGCTACAATATTTTATAAAAGTAGGAAAGGACAATAGAACATGTACACAATGTTATGAGATTAAACAAAAAGCCTTATTTCTCCTGCTGCTTCTTCCATGGCTGCTTTCTAAAATTTTTGAACAAAACAGTAGAGATTTCATTCTCTGTTGGAAATTTGGCAAGGTAATTATTTGATTCCTGTATTAATAATAGAGGCTTAAGAAAACTAGGAAGAACAAGTAACTAATCTCTTAAAAACTCATTTAAATCTTCATGATGGTAGAATGGATGAATAAAGGAAAAAGCAGTGCTGTTTGCAAATACCTCTATATATGAAAATGATTTAGTAGCAACATTGTTCAGCACAATACTTTTAATTTTGCTATAATCAGGCTACAAAGAAATACAAGCAGGCTCAGATGTAACTCAGTATTAACACGTGTGGCCCTTGGTTCAACTAGTGCTCCCTCTTTCCACCCTCTAATAGATTCTTTAAATTTTTTACCATAGTTCAGAAATCCAATCTGTCTATATAGTACTATTATTTTATAAAACAAAACAGAATTGCATAAGCTACACAAAAAAGTAAATGAACAAATTTGAAGAACTCACCCGATCTGATTGTGAGAGTTACTATTAAGAAGCTGATCTCTGGAGTGGGGGTATTGACCAAAGGAAAAACACAACAGAATATATGCAGTGTCCAGAAATAACTAATAACTTACATGGTGAACAGATTTTCTATGAAGGTAACAAGGCAATACAATACATACGCCATCTTTCCAACAAATGATGTTGGAAAGAGTATCTATCTGTATGTTTAAAAAAAAAAATGTGAACCCTGAACCACAGCCCATACCACAGTGGTAGAATTGAGAGAGCTTCTTTCATTAAGGGTAGATATATCTTTGCCTAAAATTTATTTTATTATTTCTACTTTTTTTTCCACTAGATGAGAGAAAGGCCTGCAATTATCCTATTTTTTTTGCGGGGCGGGGGGGGGGGGGGTCGATCGTGGGGCCTAAACTCTGGGCCTGGGTGCTGTCCCTCAGCTCTTTAGCTCAAGGTGAGCACTCTACCACTTGAGCCACAGTGCCACTTCCAGCCTTTTCTGCTTATGTGGTGCTGAGGAATGGAACCCAAGGCCTCATGCATGCAAGGCAAGCAGTCTATCACTGAGCTACCTTCCCAGTCCACTTTTTACTTTTATTTTTTTAATTTGGTTTTGTTTTTTGTGGAGATTAAATTCTGGGCCAGGGTGCTGTCCCTGAGCTCTTCAGCTCAAGGCCAGCACTCTATCACTTGAGCCACAACGCCACTTTTGGTTTTCTGGTGGTTAATTGAAGATAAGAGTCTCATGGACTTTTCTGCCCTGGCTGGCTTTGAACTGTGCTCCTCAGAGCTCAGCCTCCTGAGTAGCTAGGATTACAGGCGTGAGCCACTGGTGCTCCACTCTCTCACTTGTTTAACAAACATTTATTACAAGTTTTCAATTACTCGAAATCAAAAATATTAAAGCCCCATTTATTATCTGTCTGGCAAAACATATCATTCTGGTTGGAATATGGTAAAGGAAATAGTATTTGGTTAATTCTGAACAAGCTAGTTCAGAAAAACTAAAAGTAACTACACAATGTATAATGTATAATCACTATTAAACAAGTTAAGCTGCATGATATTTATATAACAATCCTAATACTGGGATGGCAATACAAGGTTAATTCACAGTTAAGAATTTCCTTTAAGGAAGTCAATTTAGAAAATTTCCTGAAAAATTCTCTCAAGTGTACCACTGCTTGTGATGTGCCCAAATGGTAAGGAATAACAGACTATGATGGTGTATGGCAAGACAAACCTCAAGGGCGGACACAATTTTCCCAGTGAACAACATTCATGATTCCTACCACATCTCTTGTTTAGGCTACTCTGTCAGGCACTTCTTGACCTACTTAGGCAGTGACATGTTACTTTTGTATGAAAACAACAAAGGAAAAGAGGACATGCTATAGCATATGTGTATGTGTACCCTGAAGGATTAAAAAATGAGCTTTAGACAACTCTCTTCCATTGCTGAATTCTGAGATGTGAGTTTTGGGGACAGTTGAGTTTCTTTTGGGGAGGAAAAAGGCATAGCAAGTAGTAACTAGAAACTATGCTTTCTATCACATAAAGAATAAAAGGTATGTGAAGTAGTATGGCAATTCCTATCTCTAGTATTCTGAACATCCCACCTCTTTCCTTGTGGCCCAGAGAAACATTTGAAATTGGAGCATTAATGAAGTGTTAAAATATTTTACCATACTGGCAAAAATGGTTCATTTTGTCTTTAATCCTTGATGTTTCTTTAAAATTTACAAAACACCAGATCATTATAAAAACAAGCAGATAAACAAGTTTTACTAGTCACTTTATTTTTTAAATTTCATGGCTTAAAAAAAAAATGCTTTTCAACACAAAGTTTGTAGAAAAGTCTTGCTACCATGTATTGTTAGAGACATCTGATAACTTACTGCATACTTAACAAAGAATCAAGAAAAATACTCTCCTCTAAAAGTGAATACATTTATTTATATAATATAAATCTACATTTACCTGTTTTGGATCTGGTTTCCTGTATATTTTATGTACTTTGTTTTTTCCATCAGTTTGGTGATCAGTGTATCTATGATCACTTTTTGATTCTGAAAAGCTTCTTCTATAAATTGGTATCTGAAGAAAGTAAATAAGCAAATTATTTCATACAAACAAATATGTAAAAAAAGGAAAAGAACAATGATTAATGTAATAATGCTTTAAAGTTAGTTATATAAGTATTATATATAATACATATATACTATACATAATAAGTAATATAAGGCAGACTTTTCCATCTCACAAATTATTCCTTCAGGCATAATAATAGACACTCTTGAAATTATTTCCTAAGTTTAAGTTTATTCATGGTTTTAGAAGCTTAGATAGCTCAACTTGACAGGCCTGCCAAAAATAATTAAGATATATGAGACTTACTAAGCATTTGTAATTTCATAATTAGGAAAATTTCAGGTCACTTTTAAGCAATAGATAACTATGTTCTACAGATCACAAATATATGGCTTTAGATAAACGGGAGCTTGGGAAGAGTCAAAATTCTTGCTTCAGGCAACACTATCATAAGATCCGAATAGTATTCACAAAATGCACTGACTTGAAGTAAAGGCAGTCTGGCAAACTATGTAAGATAGTGCAATAGAAGCTTTAGACAATAATGTCGAAAACCTTATGAAGAGCTTTGAGTTTTCAGAAAACAAATACACTATTTCTAAATTAATACATTTTATAAATGTGACTATAAATGTACAAGTGCAAATGAGCACTATAAATATATGTTTTTAAAAAAGAATTCTATTGGATTTTTTTTAAACTATGACTCAGTATTAGTTTAATTAATTTTTTTGTTTATGTGGTACTGAGGGATGGAACCCAGAGCTTCATGCATGCTAGGCAAGCATTCTGCCATTAAGACACATACATTCCCAGTTTTGTACATAATCAAATAATACTAAGTGTTAAAAAGTCCTTCTTAATTCTTTCTTAAACAACTTAAGGTTTTTTTTTCTTTTTTGATATATTAGTAAACTTACACTTAATGATATGGTCCAGTATTTTCTTTTTTTTGCTTTGTTTTGTTTTGTTTTTGGGTCCGGTTGTGGGGCCTGAACTCTGTGCCTGGGCACTGTCCCTCAGCTCTTCAGCTCAAGGCTAGCACTCTACCACTTGAGCCACAGCACCACTTCCGGCTTTTTTCTTTTTGCTTATGTGGTGCTGAGGAATCAAACCCAGGGCCTCAGGCATGCAAGGCAAGCGCTCTACCACTGAGCCAACTTCCCAGCCCCATGGTCCAGTATTTTCATTTGATATATTAAAATAAATAATTAAAATGGTCATTCTTACGTTGTTCCAAATCTCAATGTAAAAACTCCGTATTACATTTCTCATTCATTAGGATTTTATAAGTGTGTATTTAATTTCTACTAAATTTTTCCTTGCTTCTATTGACATTATCATGTAATCTTTTACATCAATGTTGTTGTGGTTTATTTTGTTAGTCATGGGGCTTGAACTCAGGGCCTGGGCCCTGTCCCTGAGTTTTTGTGTTCAAGGCTAGTGCTCCATTACTTTGAGCCATAGCTCCATTTCTGTTTTTTTGATGGTTAATTGAAGACAGGAGTCTCAGGTACTTTCCTGCTCAGGCTGACATTGAACCCCGATCCTCAGATCTCACCCTCCTGAGTAGCTAGGATTATAGGTATGAGCCACCAGTGCTCAGCTGAAATGCATGACTGATACACGGAACAATGAGTGCCAAAGAATTTATTTAACAAAAAGTAAAGGCCTCAGGAATGAGCAGCAGGTCTCAGAAGACTTGTCCTGGACTGGTGCTTTATCTTACCCCTGGTCATTTTTCCTCGAACTTGTCAGATTGTGGTTGGCTTGTTTGAAATAGGCAAGACCCTCCCCTGGGCAGTATATGGAGCCTTTTTCCCCTCAACTTTGAAATATTAATGAATTGTTTTCTGAAAATAAGGCAAATTTGGTTGTGGTGGTCCAAAATGACAGTATCTTTGGATTTGTTTTTCTATTTCTTAGAATTTTTATCATCTTTCAAGAATGAAACTAGGTTTTGGTATGAAAATTATGATTGTCTTCATGAAATAAGATAGCTCATAGAGCTGGGAATGTGGCTTAGTGGTAGAGTGCTTGCTTAGCACGCATGAAGTCCTGGGTTCGATTCCTCAGTACCACATAAACAGAAAGAGCCAGAGTGGCGCTGTGGCTCAAGTGGTAGAGTGCTAGCTTTGAGCAGAAGCAGCTCAGGGACAGTGCCCAGACCCTAAGTTTAAGCACCAGGGCTGGAAAAACAAGCAAACAAACAAAAACCCACTTTCTCACTGTTATTCTTGAGACAAGTTTACAAAAGGAAGTGTTGTGCTTTTACAATGTCTTATATATCCATTAGTGAAGTCTTGAGGGGACACAATTTTCTGCATGAGTTTTAAAGTAGGGATTTACATTGTAGGAATATTTTAATTTTCTATTTTCTTTACATTAGCTTCAGAAAAGCTGTATTTTTAAAAGAAATTTTCCATTTCACTTAAAATCCTTCAAATATCTGACATATTCATTTAACAGATTTTGGGGCTGGGATGTAGAGTGCATATTCAGCATGTATGAGGCCTTGGGTTTGATCTTTAATACCTTAAATGGCTTGGGTGGGAATGCCTCAAGGGAGGGAGGAGTTCTTTTCATGTTCTGGTTCCATTTCAATCTGTATTTGATATTAGCTCTGAAATTTCTTACATATGATTTCTGGATTTTTGTCCAGGTTTTCTACTCATTTTTGTTGTCATGAGTGGCCTAATTATCTAGTCTTCCATGACTGGGAGCATAGATCATTCTAAGTAACTATATATATTAATATATAACATATATTAATATATATATAAATTAATTAATCTAGATCCTCTTATCTATATCAGCAGTTGCTAAGTAAAAGGCCTGTGGAGGTCAGATGTCAAGCAAACTTTGGCCAAAAGAAAGATGCTGAGACCTGTGCTCTTTGTGTTCTAGCAGCTGACAGTCCCGACAGGTCAGTTTGTCACATGTCTCACAGTAAAGCTTCAACTGCTCCTTTTTATGATAAGGACAAAACACTGGCCGCTGACTGGTTACACCAACTGCCTCTGTAGGAACAATGGGAGGCAAAGAGAAGAAAATATAACGAATAATAAATATTTATTAAATTCACTGATATAAAAGAACTCTGAAGTTTCATCTATACTGTTGAGTACCGTTAAGCATTTCATTAAGTGAGCTTTTTTATTTCTAAGGTAAACAATTCAAATTCACTCAAGGAGTGTAATGAAAAGATCTTTAATGGAATTAAAAGTCTTGTGAGGACAGTCCTGGTAAGTATGAACTAACTAGATGTTTTCTATCACAAATGTGAAAGGAAAAATTTAAAATAATATTTCTGTGTTCACTTTTAAACAACAGTTACCTATATGACTTCTCATTAGTTTTCCAGTACAGGATAAAACTGAGAAATGCTTGTAATGTTTAATGTACAAATCAGACAAACAACTATAATGACTGATTGAATAAACACCAATAATTTCACCAATAATTAAAAGGTATAATCCAAACATTTCAGAAGTAATTCCATTTTCGGAGATAACTATACTAATAATCTGGTATATGTTCCTCTGGTTGATCTTCTGTGCATAGTAAGTATATATATAGTATAGTGTTCTGTTTTATGAACTACAAAATGGCACTGCACACACTGGTATGATATTCTTCTCATTTAACTCTACCTTATATACCTTTCTGTGTTAGTACATTATTCAAGTTTTTAGAGACAGGGCCTCAGTATTTAGTCTAAGATAGCCTGGAACAAGTTGGTCTCAGCCTCCTGACCATTCTTAAAATATATAATAGGCCATCAAATATGTAAAGCACATGCTAGTGGACAGTACTTTTTCATTTTTATTTTTGGTCACGGGGCTTGAACTCAGGGCCTGGGTGCTGTCCTTGAGCTCTGTTGCTCAGGGCTAGCACTCTACTACTTTGAGCCACTTCTGGTTTTTGAGTGGTTAATTGGAGATAAGAGTCTCACTGGGACTTTTCTGCCTGGGCTGGTTTCCATGGTCCTCAGACCTCAGCCTCTTGAGTAGCTAGGATTACAGGAGTGAGCCAACTGGCACTTGGCTTATGCTTTTTTTTTTTTTTTTTAAATAAGATAAATATCTAATGGAAAAATTATTAGATCACAGAGAAACAAACATTAACTAAGTGATCTTCCAAAAGTCCTATCAATTTATACTTCTAACTTATTGGTAGGAAATATTCCCAATACTTTTAATCTCTGCCAATTGGTAGGCATGAGGGCAGGGCAGGTAGGCAAAGAGAAACACACACCCAGAAACCACTTAAGGTATATTAACAATTGAAACTGGAAGATGTTTCAGGCACCGGTTATTTGTATTCCTTTTAGAATTATCTGCTTCCAGCCTCTCTCATTTTTCTGTCCAATCTTTTTGTTTTACATTTTTTTGTTCAATTCTGTCTTAATGATTTGTATACACATGACAAGTTGTCAAGTTTTTAGAAATATTTTTCCAAGTTTGACTTGATTTAGTACATATTTTTTCCAAATAGTATTTTATGGCTTTAAATTTTAAGAAATAGTTCCAGAAAGGCTATTTCCTACTTAATAAAAATGTTTACTTTTTTTTTTTTACTTTTTTCTACTCATAGGTCTACTTTATATTATAGTTTCCTTCTAAGTCTTTGATTTATCTAAAGTTTATTTTCGTATTTTTTAATCTTTACATAAACCTTACATTTGTACCAGCTACAAGTATAGTTAACATTCATATTTTCAGATTATAATACAATTAAACTGTAAAAGTGTAAGGTAAAAATTAATGAAACTCAAACACTGGTAAATGTCTTTATTCTTTTAAAGAATTCCTGAATCAAACCATTCAGTAAATTATTCTTACTATTTAATATATATCAGGATCTCTTACAAAACTATCAAACTAGAAAACAAGTAAAAAGGAAAAAAAAACCATAAATCTCTATTTACTTGATGTACATAAATGCAGAATAATTTCAAAACAACAGAAATAAAGTAGTAAATCATAATTCCATTTTTAAACACTTATTCTAAGAAAAAGGAAAAGTATATATCACAGGTAAGTTAGAAACAGAACTTAAAAAAAACTAACAGAAATATAAGATCAATGAATTAAAAAGTATAAAAAGTACAATAAATATATCTAAGAGCTTTCTATGAATAAAAATAAAATAGAGCCTATCATCTAACCAATTCAAAAAGCAAAAATGCATAAAATTCAGTATGAAAAAAGAATAACAATAAAACTGGCAACTGCTATAATTCAATATAAGCCATCTGCTACAAAAGGACTGGTCATGAAAGCTCTTGCCTAATCAAACGATGCATCCATTGATAAGATTACAGTTCAATGGACTACCAGGAGGCCGGCCGGGTTGGAGGATGTAGGTCTCCGGGGCATGCCTTTGAAAGATGTATCCTGTTCCCTGCTCCTGTCTCCGGATTCTCTCTGCTACTGAGAGGTGAGCAATTTTGTCCCTCCCCTCTTTTGTCACTCTGTTCTGTCTAACCAGGCTCTTAGACTGACTGCCTTTGAATCAGCCAAAAAATAAAGTTTCCTTCTTTAAATTGTTCCTCTTTTGTATTTGTCAAGTGATAAAAGGCAAAGTTTAAACATAGGTAAGGCTAAATATAGAAGCCCAGCGATGCTAAGATGGTTCAGTGCTAATAATAATCTGAAAATCTTCATAGTTCCCTGCACCCTTCTTGATGGTTGTATCATTTGGGCTTTACACATAGATAGGCTGGCCATGTAGCTTTGGTTTGATCTGGACAACCTAGTTTGTGACTGCTATCCAGGGAAAATCATTTATAGTGTCTCTTTATATAGACAGAAAATATTATCTGCTTATAGACTACCTTTATATATTGAAGAATTTGGTTCCTGATTCATTGTTGCTCTCCTGTGCTCCTCCTAAGTCTTATCATCATCCAAAGACTTACAAGTCCAATGAATTACCATAGAGACCTTGTTTTAGATACATAGTCCACAGCCACACCCTAGAACTTCCATTGTCCATAACTGTTCCAGTTCTATAACAAGTACAACATTCCACTCTAATAACTTCTACTTTTAATTCTTGCTCATGACTCTTAAGAATCACATTGAATCTCTAGTTCCTATCAACTAACACTTGTGGCATCCTACGAACCAATATTCTCTACATCCTTTTCAGTTAAAATGCCAAAAGGCTTAAACATGCATCATTACATGCATCTTGTATGCTGCTGAATTCCTCTAACACCTGTTCAGGTAAAGTCCAACTCTACATATGTCCAATTCTCTGTACCTACAACCAGCCGAGGCTACTAACAAATCTACTTCGTTCGCTATAGCTCTTTCAACTGGACTATTTTGGCTTCAACCTAAATCCCTAAACCTTAGGCTAGTACTCCTTTTTCATATACTCAAACATCCTAGGTCAAATTATGATTATTTGCTTCCAGACTTCATTTATACTATTAACTTTTGCAGAATACAGGAAATATGTCTTATTCACATTTTCATTCCTAGTATTTAACAATATTCATCAATAGAATAGGCATAAATATGCTGGTTGACTCAAATAATAAAAATTGGTAAAATAAAATAAAAAAAATAGTAATGAGTTGAGCACCAGTGGTCCATGCCTATATCCTATATCCAGGAGGCTGAGATCAGAGGACCAATGTTCAAAGAGGCCAGAAGTGGAGCTGTAGCTCAAGTTGTAGTGCATTAGCCTTGAGCTTAAAAGCTCAGGGACAATTGCCTGGGCCCTGGGGTCAAGCCCCAATATCATCCTCTACCCTGCCCCCCACACAAAGAGGGGTGCTGATGGCTCATACCTGTAATCCTAGCTACTGACGATGAGATCTGAGGATTATGGTTCAAAGTCAACCTGAGCAGGAAAGTCCATGGACTCTTATTTCCAACTAACTGCCCAAAAGCTGGAAGTGGACATATGGCTCAATTGGTAGAGTGCTAGTTTTAAGCACAAAAGCTTAAGGACAGTGCCCAGGCTCTTAGTTCAAGCCCTAGGACAAACACACATACACACAAAAAATGCTAAGAGGAATGTGAAGTGAGACAAAGGAAATAGTGATAGGTGTGAAACATGAATGTAATGAACACAACCAAACAGTACACTTAAAACATTAAGGTAAATTTTATATTACATATGTTTTTCCAATATTAAGAAATACATGGCTGAGTATTGATGGCTCATGCCTGTAATTCTAACTACTCAGCAGGCTGAGATCTGACAATTGTGGTTCAAAGACAGACTGAGTAGAAAAGTCCCCATGAGATTCATCTCCGAAGTGGAGCTGTGGCTCAAAGTGGTAGAGTACTAGCCTGGAGCAAAAGAGCTCAGGGACAGTGCCCAGGCCCTGAATTCAAGCCCCATGACAGGAAAAAGAGGAGGAGGAGAAGAAGAAGCAGAAGCAGAAGAAGCAGAAGAAGACGCAGAAGCAGGAGCAGAAGCAGCAGAAGAAGCAGCAGAAGAAGCAGCAGAAGAAGCAGAAGAAGCAGAAGAAGAAGCAGAAGAAGCAGAAGAAGCAGAAGCAGAAGAAGCAGAAGCAGAAGAAGAAGAAGCAGAAGAAGAAGCAGCAGCAGAAGAAGAAGCAGAAGAAGAAGCAGAAGCAGAAGCAGAAGAAGAAGAAGCAGAAGAAGCAGCAGAAGAAGAAGAAGCAGAAGAAGCAGAAGCAGAAGAAGCAGAAGCAGAAGAAGAAGAAGCAGAAGAAGCAGAAGCAGAAGAAGCAGAAGAAGAAGAAGCAGAAGCAGAAGAAGCAGAAGCAGAAGCAGAAGCAGCAGAAGCAGAAGAAGAAGCAGCAGCAGAAGAAGAAGCAGAAGAAGCAGCAGAAGCAGAAGCAGAAGAAGCAGAAGCAGAAGAAGCAGAAGCAGAAGCAGAAGAAGCAGAAGCAGAAGCAGAAGAAGAAGCAGAAGCAGAAGAAGCAGAAGCAGAAGAAGAAGAAGCAGAAGAAGAAGAAGAAGCAGAAGAAGAAGAAGCAGAAGAAGAAGAAGCAGAAGCAGAAGAAGAAGAAGCAGAAGAAGAAGAAGAAGAAGAAGAGAAACATATATTAAGTAAACTTCACATTATAAGTACAAAAGTATCACATTGAAAACCCAGAAAACACCATTACATAAAAAGCAAAAGCTCCTTTGGTTATCCATATAGTAGGCAAATATATACATATATGTATATATATACATGTACATATATACTTGCCTACTATATATATGTATATATATATATATATATATATATATATATATATATATATCAGAAGGAAGAGTTATATTTATACCCATTCCTTCTCACTTTTGGCAAAAAGGAGAGAAAAAAATTTTAAAGGTAATGTTTTTTCATTTGTTGTACATTCACACCAAATTAAGACATTTGTAGTAGCAAGAGGGTTGGGAATGTAAATGTAAGGCAGGATTCTATATCTAACTCAAATTCCAATCATAATACTGATACTTTATACATACAAGAGTATATTTAATGCTTATATCAACTTAATAAAGAAAATAGAAAATAAAGGGGGAGAGAAAAGAGACGAATTGATGGATTACCTGGAGATACTTCCTCTTTCTGTCTAACTGTGTGGTCTTTGGTGAACTTCACCCTCTGATGGGCTCTAATGCAAGTCTTGCAGAGCCACTCAACACACTCTACACAAAACCCATTAGCTTCAGCATTGTCCTCACAGCTTGTACACACCTAGTGAGGAAAGGAATTGGTCATATAGATTGCTGAGAAAAGTAAAAAGCTGGTCACACCACAGTCAGACCTAAATGACATGCTAATTATGCTGGACTCTCAGTTTTCCTCTTACCAGCTCTGGGAAGTTTTTGTCAAATTATATGCATGTAAAATGGAATAATTATGCACAGGTAAGAATGATTGCAAGTACATTTTCACATTAGTTTAAGCTACTAAATTCCAGGCACAAGGTATGGAGAACACAATAATCAGGGGAAACCAAGCAGTCTCTGATTATGATGGTACCTACCGTCTTGTAGATGGAGAACAGGCTCCAATCTCAGTTCCCCCACCAACTAGCCTGGGTGGTCTTGGGCAGGGTTGAGAAATGTATGTAATGGGAAGAGAAAGCTGGGCAAGCAGGAAGAGGGAAAGGCTCTTTCTAAAAGATCCTACATCAGCACACCAACATATGAAAGGTGAATCAACAACTCTTAGATAAAATGCTTTCTAGAAACAGTGGAGAATAAATAACAAACTGCAGGCAAGGAGAGTGTGTGACAGGTTGAAAGAACTGGAAAAAAGGTAGGTATGGCTAAAGTGCAGCCATCCAGGGGAGGCTGGCAAGAGGAGGAGCTGTGGCAAGACATGCAGTCACAAGACAATGCTGGCAACTTTTAGGCACAACAGTGGCACAGCCTCACTTGATGAAATGTGAAGCATGCATTAGAGATAAGGACAAGGATTTCTGCATAAAGAGGAAGAAAAATGTTTTTCAGTGGTTTCTGTGAGGCTTGGTAGAAGCAATGGTGAGGAAGATTTAGAAGTAAATTTGGCTGGGATGATGCACTGGGTATGGGAGGTGAAGAGACAGCCCATGGATTTCTAGTTTGTGAAGCCAGGTGGATGGTGGGGCCATTCTAAGTGTAGATATTAAGGTTAGAAAACATATAAGCAGTTCTCATTATCTTAAAAGTTTTATTTAAAAAAAAAACACCACACAAAACTGTCCTCATATAGAGGTTGCCAAATTTCAGATATCTGGATTAACATTTCTATGAATTGAAATCCTCTTTTTCTTAGCTCTTATCACCTTAAACTTTGCTGACATTGTTTTGATACTGCGGACCTGTGCTTTCTGGTAATTACTTTGGTTCTTGACACCTGACTATCCTAGTTTCCCCTCAGTACCCTTTTGGTTCCCTTCCTCCAATCTAGATTTCTGTTATTTCTGGGGACTAATCTCAAGTGCCTCTCTCATCTTCAACTCTCATCTAGCTAAAGGAATGTTTATTTACATTGCTCAAGAGAGATCTCTATCTACTATATGAAATGATTTAAGAGACAAATAGGTAAAAAATGAATATGTAAAGCATAGTGCTTATTTAAGAGTGAAGGGATAAAGGGGATGATTTGCTGAGTACAAATGTGAGTGGCTCACATTTGTCTGCAATCAGATACTCAGGAGGGTGAGATCTGAAGACTAAAGTTCAAAGCCAGACCACCAAAAAGCCAGAAGTGGAGCTGTGGCTCAAACAGTAGAACACAAGGTATGAATAAAGAAGTTAAAGAACAGTGACTAGGCCCTGAGTTCAAGCTCTAAAACTGGCACACACACTAAATGGGGGTGAGGGAATTTTTAGCTAAGCCAACGTTGGAATGACCTGTCTTTGGTTAAGCACACGGTCAAGCACGTGAGTGCATATCTGGTGTTCTGCTTGACTTTCGAAAATAAGGTGGGAATCAATCCTTCCTACTCATGTCTTCAGATACATAAAAAGATGGCCCAGAGGGGAGAGTTAAATCCTTCAGATTAAAAAAAAGAAAGTTCTGTGAATATACCCTGCTTTATAGATTCTGCTTTTGAAAAGTCTGTGGGTGTTTTATATGTAGGTATATATAGTTTTAAAACATAAGTTTAAAAAATTTAAATCCCTAAACATCAAAACTAAGATGAAACAAATGAAGCTAGCTACCAAGTAGGTCGTTTAACCACACACAGAAAGGTATTACAGTAACTTTAAAACATGATGACTCGATTGAGTATCTTCTGGCACACATATTTAGCAATTGTTGTCTTTCTTGACTTTTGTTTTGTTTCAACCACTATAATTTCCCCTTAGCTTAAACTACTTACCACACACTCATATTCTGTAAGCCACATTTGTACATTACAATGGATAGTGCAGGAAGGAAGTGCAGTTCAAGGAAGAACTTGACCTTTGTGAGTTCAAGAACTTCTATAAATATTGCTCCAAACAAGGCTGTTCTAGCCCAACTGGAGCACTTCCTTCTTACTGAAACAGCTCTGGTCTGAGCATTCAGACTCCAGCACCAGCCAATGGCACTTCCTCTTTAGATGTTTGAGCTCAAGACCTGTATGACAACTTAACTTTTTAATTTAAAGTTAAGTTTCTTCATCCTCATGAGGTGCTGGGGATGGAACTCTTGGCCTTGTGATGTTAGAACAAATTCTCTTATCACTGAACTACATATCCCCTTAGTCCATAACTTTTTTTTCTGGGCAGGAAGTGGGAGGGGTCAGTATTAGGGTTTGAACTCAAGAATCTCTACCACTAGACTACACCTTCAAGCCTTTTTGCTTTATTTTTTTTAGATAGGCCTTATTTTCTTGCCAAAGTCAGCTTCAGACCTCTGGCTGAGGCCTTCTGCCTCCCAATCAGCTGAAATTGTGGTCTGTGCCACCATGCTGGGCCTCTAAATTTAATATCAACTTCCTGCCCATATTTCTTCAGTTGCCTCCCAATGTTGCTAACTCTGATACTTTATTCTTTTTTATCTTTTCAGAAAACATCTGAGGATTTTAAGGATTTAAACAACTGCCAATTGCATAAAAATATAACCTAAAATATATAATGTGTTCTTTTTTTTGGAAAGTAATTATTGCCAGTGTAGTTAAGAACTAAGATTTCTATGCTGTGTGCTGGTGGTTCATGCCTGTAATCTCGTAATCAGGGTTTGAAGCCAGCCGAGCTGGCTTCAAAACAACTCAGAAAAAGCCAGAAGTGGTACTATGGTTCAAGCGGTAGAGGGCTAGCATTGAACAAAAGAAGCTCAGGGACAGCACTCAAGCCCTGAGTTGAATCCCCAAGATAAGCACAAAGATTTATAATATAGTAAAGATATAAACATAAGCAAAAAAATAAACTCCTACAAGTCTAAATTTGACTAAAAATATCAATATATACTTACATTTTAATTAATTTAATAAAAAGACTTCATTATTTTCCTAAAAGGCCTAGAAAACTGAACAACATAATGATGATTGATAAGCATTCTGTGTGTGTGTGTGTGTGTGTGTGTGAGACTCCTAAATGCTCATATACACAATCTATTGCTGAGCTACCAGACTAATTAATTTCTATTATTTAAAGCTGATTTCATAACAATTAGAAAGTTTATCCCCTCCAAAAAGGCCTGGTGTGGGCTTTAATGTGGCCTTTCCACATTAGAAAGAATTGTGGATGCTTTTGAAGAATTTTAATGAGAAGTGGCTATTGTTCACTTACAAAGTGAACCCTAAATTCCTGTGGTTTTTCCCAAAAATAAAAACTGAAAATAAAACAAAGAGCACAGAAATTAGCCATGTGTCCTAATAACAAATTTAAGATTAGTATAGCTATTAAACATTTCCTAATCAGGTGATAACTAGCTAAACAGTATTTAACCAGATTTAGTACCTTAGTAGGTCTTCAGTTCTAAATCTGAGGAACTGCCTGGAAGAGTCATCCACAAATCCACAAGTAGACCAATACACTATACTTGGCAAATACTAACACCTACTAGACTGTTACAAGTTATCCACAGCAGCCTGATGTCTAGATTTAAGAAGAAAATAGAAATGTTCAATATGGTAAACTGAAGTAGATGAATCGAACTGGTACCATCATGGCCACGTGATGGATGATGGGAAATTAGGTCTAATTGGCACCATCTTGTCTTCATGATGGAGGCAGGGAAGTCCCACCTCCCAGGTGATAGGTGTGCCTGAATGGCTAGAGGCAGGGGTGGGGACTTGGACAATATGTTATTGGACCTGCAGGTCTAGGGTGGTGAACTCTCAAGCTTCCTGTGACCTTGCCCCCTGACCTGACCCTATTTAGGCCCAGACCAGCTCAGCTGTCGGTATGCCATGCTCCACGTCCTGTCTCCTGCTGCTTCTCTGGTCACCATGGTGTCCTACTTTAGCTCTCCTTTGAGGTTGATCTGGTTTGTTGGCATTGTTTTTCTGTTTCTTCTTTCCTTTCCTGCTCTCAGTTTTCTAACAGTGGTAAGTATGTTTGTGGGCTGTGGGCCTTTGTAACAGGAATCTGCCTGCATTCAATGGCCTTCTAATAGACTCTCCCAATTCTACCTCTCAAAATGTGGCTTCTCTGTTTTCCCGCCATATAACAAAACCAGGCATGGTGGTGCATGCCCATAATCCCAGCCCTCAGGAATTTGAGGCCAAGTCAGTTAGTGATCTCATGTCAAAAGTAAACAAAACAAGGCTGGGCACAATGGCTGATGGCAGTAATCCTAGCACTAGATATGGGGATCTCAGCTGGAAGCCAGCCCAGGCAAATAAAGGTATGAGAGATCCTATTTCGAAAGGCAAACTAGGCCATCATTCTTAAATAGTTGGGCACTGGTGGCTCCTGCCTGTAATGCTAGCTACTCAGGAGGCTGAGATCATGGCTCAAAGCCAGTTAAAAGCAGGACTCTTCCCTTCAATTAACCAGTATAAAGCCAGAAGTGGAGCTGTGGCTCAAGTGGCAGAACACAAGCCTTGAGCAAAAAAACTCAGGAAAGGGGCAGAAGCCTTGAGTTCAAGCCCCAGGACAAGCACTAAATTATGAAAAAACAAAACAAAACAAAACAAAAAAAACCAACGATGAAAGAAAAAAAAAAGAAGAAAAGGCTGAGGATGTGACTCAAGAAGGTGGTGAAAAACAGAATGAAAGAGGAAGTGACACTGTACAAAGGAAATACACACATTACCTGACTTGTGCAACAGCAACTCCTCTACACATCAGCTTTACAAAAAGAAAATTGGTAGGGTATGCCAAGGCACTGGGGGTCCACATCTCTAAGCTACTTTAGAAAAGTCAAGATCTAGAGGATCAGGGATATGTCAGGCAGAAACATTTACTAAACTCCATCTCTCTATCTCAAAACTAACTCAGCTTAGCAAGCACAATGTCCTGAGTTCAAGCCCTGGTACTACACCCTCTCTCCACAAAAAGAAATCAACAAACAAAACCTCACAAAAAACAAGTATTTGTAGTGTGGGTTATAGAAGTAGAAAAGAAAGCCAGGCGCTGGTGGCTCACGCCTGTAATCCTAGCTACTCAGGAGGCTGAGATCTGAGGATCGCGGTTCAAAGCCAGCCCAGGCAGGAGAGACCATGAGACTCCTATCTCCAATAAACCACCAGAAAACCGGAAGTGGCGCTGTAGCTCAAGTGGTAGAGCGCTTGCCTTGAGCTGAAGAGCTGAGGGACAGCGCCCAGGCCCAGAGTTCAAGCCCCACGACCGACCAAAAAAAAAAAAAAAAAAGAAGTAGAAAAGAAAGATACCATGGGGTATCTAAATCAAAGAGCTTGTACAATATTGCCAAATAAAGCTTTCCAAGTAATACCATTATTACCATTATTATATGGGTTTTTGTAAAAGGCGGGGTCGTATCATGTAGCCCTGGCTGGCCTGGGATTTCCAGGCTGCTCTTGACCGGGGCAAGGCTGGCTTTAATCTCCCAACTGTTGATATCTCAGGCATATGCCACGTGCCACTACACTCGGCCAAAAAGACTTTCTTTAAAAAAAAAATTAATACATGGTAACTGAGTACAATGAAATGAAATAATGCTGAATATACAATAGTGTTTCTCAATGGCTGAGGAAGCCAGGACATGGGAGATGGAACCAGGGGCTTCTGCTCTGTAGTGTTTGATTTCCTAGTTGAATTATTCATTATTGCTTACTACACCAAGATGAAAGGTCTAAAGTAGCTCCTGTTAGGCAGAATCCTTCAGTATTTTTGGCTGCATCATAATGCACAGAAGCTTGAGATTTATATACTTACCTGATTAGATTTTTCTACTGTACTGCTGGGAACCTCAGTAGTGTCCTTCACGAAAAAATTATCTATGATGTGTCTCTCTGCACATTCTTGGCTGCACACTGGACATCGGATAACTCCAACTGGGGAAGACAAAACTGCATTCTAAGTTTTAATGCAAATACACTGAGTATTAAACCAGTACATGTCTTCTAAAATGTAATCCGTTTCTAATGATTTCCATGTTTTTAAAATTATACTTGCTTACTTGCACGTGCTAGGCAAGTGCCTAGCACTTTAAGCCACACTTTCAGCCCATAAATCCTCCCCATCTTAAATGTCATGTTCTCTCTCCAAGTAAATATCCCCCTCGCTACTGGTTTTACTGTTCAATGACTTCTTTAGCATTGGTTTTCAAACAGGAATGTAGAGAATGATAGGATTTTACAAACAAGGAATTTTTAAATGAAATGCATTAAGAACAAACACAAAGTAATCCAAACATCAATTTTATATGTATAAAACAACAAACAAAATTTTTAATTAAACCATGCCAGGTGCTTGTGGTTTACACCTGTAATCCTAGACACTCAGGAGGCTGACATCTGAGCATCACTGTTTGAAATCAGTTTGGGCAGACAAATCTGAGATTCTCATCTCCAATTAACCATCAAAAAGCCAGAAATGGAAATGTGACTCATGAGGCAGAGTGCTAGCCATGAGCAAAAAAGCCAATGGAAAGAGGTCTTTAGCCTGAATTCAAGCCTGATACAGAAGAATAAATAAGCAAAAAACAAAACTAAAAAAAAAGTTTAAAGATTTGAAATTATTTTAAAAGTTATTACATTGAAAGACATTAAAAATTGGGCTGGGAAGGTGGCTCAGTGGTAGAGTGCTTACCTAGCATGCATGAGGCCCTGGGTTCAATTCCTCAGTACCTCATAAGCAGAAAAAGCCGGAAATGGCCCTGTGGCTTAAGTAGTAGAGCACTAGCCTTGAGTTGAAGAGCTGAGGGACAGTGCCTAAGCCCAGAGTTCAGGCCCCATGACCGAAAAAAAAAATAATGAAGACATCTTCATGTTCACAATGGCAAAAATGTCAATGCTCCCTAAACATAGGCCACTCACCTAATAAATGAGATTTAACCACAAACCTAACAGTTGTTAAGGTGGAATTTAAGCAAAGGGTCTGTTGAGATGCCTTGTGGAAGGTCACAAGGTCATTGGAGGTGTGTCCTGGACAGAGGATGTGTGATCCCAATATGTGCATATGAAATATTGCATCAGTACTAGACATTTACAGATATTTTGGGCTATTAATCCCTAAGAAAATATAGTATAGTATAGCATAGCATAGTATACTGTACTGGTTAGTACAAATATTCTAGAGATTATTATTTAAATATTAAGGAAGGATGATTGAAGGCTACATGGAAATACTATGCCATTTAATACGAGACTTGACCATCTTTGGATTTTGCTAAATGACTGGAACTTATCGCCCCAGATAATGAAAGATGACTATAGTTAGAATAATCAGGAGTATGTGTTACTGACAACAGACAGAACAGAATAGAAAACCTGAAACAGACTCATACCAGTATTTCCAACAAATGGTTGGTAGAACTGCAAAGTATCTTTATATTGACAAGTATAAAAGTATCCACAAATTGAAGACTCAACACAGAAGTCAATTTCCCACAAATTGATCTATTGGCTGATACATTCCCATCAAAATCCCAACAAGACTTTTTGTACTTGTAGACAGGTTAAATATTTTCTATAGAAAGGAAAACGGCATTAGAATTGCTAAATCAATTTTGAAAAAAAAAGTGACAATAATCACAACATCCAATTTTTGACATAATAATTGAGACAGAGGGATACTGGGGAGGACACAAAAATAAATGGGGCAGAATAGAAAACCCCCCAAAGAAACTCATAAGTAAACCAAGCTGGTTTTTGACAGAATGTGAAGGCAATTTAATGGAAGAAAGTCTTTTCAATAAATTGTACCTGGGTAGTCCTAGGGTAAAAAGCTGAACCTAACCGAAATGTCATACTTCATACAAGTTTAACTTAATGTACATCAGATTTAAATGTAAACTATGGAATTACAAAACAATTAGAAGAAAATTGTGGGGAAGTGTTCTTAAACATAACAAAAAATACAATCAATAAAAAATATTAGAGAACCTGATCATCAAAATTAATAACTTTTTTGCTCTACAAAAGTATATCTGCAAATTTTCTGCTTGACAAAGGATCAGGTTTATATTATACAAAGAATCTCACAATGCAACAGCAAAAATAATGGGCAATGGGCAAAAGACATGAGATATTTCACTGTGGCAAATAAACTAATGTAACTATGACCACAGTAAAATATCACTACATACTTATTAGAACAGTTAAAAAAATTTTTTTTTAAATGAGGGTAATAATCAAACAGGCAAAAATGTGAACAAACTGTGTTTCTTACAAACTGCCAAAAAAAAAAAAGTCAAACAGCTGCTGCTTTAACAGTTTAATACATAAGTTTGCCATATAACTCAGCAAGTGCATTCCTGAGTATTCCAGAGAAATATACTTAAGTCCTGAAAATGTTCATAATTAAAAACCAGGTATATCTATACCAAGAAATATTAATCAGTGGTCAGAAGCCCATGGCTCATGCCGGTAATCCTAGCTACTCAGGAGGCTGAGATCTGAGGTTCGAGGTTCAAAGCCAGCCTGGGCGGAAAAGCGTGAAACTCATCTCCAATAAACCACTAGAAAATCAGAAGTAGCTCTGTGGCACTACTACCCTTGAGCTGAAGAGCTGAAGGACAACACACAGATCCAGAGTTCAAGCCCCATGACAGACAAAAACCAAAACCAAAACCAAACATAAAAAAACCAAAATATTAATCAGCAATGATAACCATATTCATTAACTGGATGGATCTTGGGAGCATCAGTCTGAATGGAAAAAAGCCAATTTTTAAAGGTCCCTTGCAAAAGACTTCACTTATACATTTTAGTAAAATGACAAGACTTAACAGGTAACAGGACAAAGTTGGAAGGAATTATCAACGGGGGTGGGAGGGAGAAGGTGGAAAGGAAAGCTCTTGTGGTGACAGAATATTGGCATGGTGATGTGAAGATGAATTATTATTCTGAATTATTAAAGATACTGCAGACTATTTGATCTCAACTAAGTAGAACATCATGGAGAGATGGAATGTTGCATGATTGGAGCCAAAATCATCTGGGTCTACCTTAGGCATTCATAAAAGTAGCCATATACTTTGAACCTTTTATGTGACCAAATTTTTCATGACTATTAGGGTAAACCTCTCAGGATATACTGTTAAGCTTGTTTGCTACACAGTATGATGAAAAGCAGATTGCCAATTCTAAAAGCTATTAATGCTCTAACATCTGGACATTTTGTGTGTGTGGGGGGGTGGGGGTGGGGGGGGGGGGGTCTGATTCAGAAGCTTCAATGCAGGTTCTGGTGGCTGTTTCTGTGCTTTTGTGTGTAAAGCTAGCACTCTACCACAGATCTACTTCTGGCTTTCTGGAGGTTAGTTGGAGATAAGAGTCTTATGGACTTTACTGATCCTCAAGTCTCAAACCATAATCCTCAAATCTCAGCTTCTGGAGTAGGTATGATTACAAGTATCAGCAGCCACTGGTGCTTGGCAACTTCTGGAATTTATAGAGAATATTTTCCAGCACTCTACCAAATGTCCTCATTAATTTATTTGGATTATGGACTTTTAAGTTTGCCTTTTTTTTTTCTGGTCCTGGGGTTTGAACTCAGGGCCTGGGCTCTGTCCATAAGCCTCTCTTTGCTCAAGGCTAGCACTCTATCACTTGAGCCACAGTGCCACTTCTGGCTTTTTCTGAGTAGTTTCATGGACTTTCCTGTCTGGGCTGACTTTGAACCACCTCAGATCTCAGCATCCTGAATAGCTAGGATTATAGGTGTGACTCACCAGTGCCTGGCTTCTAATTTTCTTTCATTTCAGAGCATATAATTCAAAGTAACCTGAATCTCTGTCCCTGGCTTTAATCACTCATATTTGATTCAGAAAAAAAACTACCTCCTTTAAAGCGGGGTTATTTTGCATAAGTGGGTAGACAAATCTACAAATGTGAGGGTGATACAGAACTATAGCATTATTGTCTGAAGTGAATTTCTTGGTTTTGATATTGTAATATTGTTACTTAAGACTTAAATTGGGTAAATGACGGAATCTCTACAATCTCTCATGAAAGAGTTTTCAAATGCACAAAACTTGGTGCTTTCTTTATATCAATTTATCATTATGACACAGATGCAGAAGAAACAGACCAAGGAATATGACTAACTTGACCAAGGCCAAAGATTATTGGAGCTGAAATATGAACTTACAACCAGCTAACGAGAATCAATGCCATGTCCTACTGTACTTTACAAAAGCATGTTCAAAAGCCATAGGTTAACGGAGCACAACAGTATCACTGATAGGACATTAGTGAATTATAAAAGAATCTTACTTGGAGTGGTCATGAATTCACATTCTAAATCAACTTAAATCCAAGTAAACCCTACCTTGATAATACTTTCTTCCTCATAAAGTTAATGAGAAAATATAATTTTCACCCTTTCAAGTCTGAGTATATTTGTAGTTTCTTTACACAAATCAGAAGAACAACATTTAGAATATATCTTTCCAGAATCTGGAACAATTAAAATCTGAATTAGAAAAATAACTCTTTAATAATGGTGGACCTTAAAATTTTTTAATTATTCATCACTGTGTGTTTTAGTAGCTATGTTTATTTCCATTTGTTATTTAAGTAGGTTGAAAACTTTAAAAAAAGTACATAGCTTCTATAAAGTCTGTTTCAAAATGTCACCTTTGAAGAAACTTGCCTTTCCTTATCCTACTCTATTTTTTCCCTGGTATTTTATTTAATCTTTCTATTTTAGGTATTTATATTTACTGCTTGACCACTTGGTTATCCCAAGTAGACTATACACTCAATGTCAGAAGTTTTTATCTGCTCACTAATATTCCAAAGTGTACAAATATACCTTGCACATAGTGCTCAGTATGTTTTTTGAATCTCAGAATAATGCATATATCCTGTGAGAATCACCACGAAGAACC